GGTTTCAAGGCGTTTCAAAGTTTTTGGGTTCAGTTTTAGGGTTTAATTAACTTGCTCTCAAACCCTCAGCCTACGGCTCAGGTGTCGGGCTTTAGGATTTAACTTTTCCCCAATTTTTCAGTCTAGGGTTTAGATTTAAAGTTTACCTTGCCCCCGCCCACCGTGCAGCGAGGGTTCGCGGAGATTTTCGTGTCTCACCAACTCACAGAAATGCTCTTGGTTGAGGCTAGCAACGCAAGCGCTGCCCGTAATGGTATCAAAGGAAGTTCAGAAGGAACTCCCATAGTAATGCGCATGATCACAATCAGAACAACAGTAGTATCGATGACAGTGGTAATCATGATCATACAAAATACCGCCCAATGATGATAGTATCGGCTTAATGAAGATAGTAATTATATATTTATATACATACTAGTGTATTTGCAAGACAATATAACATGTATACGTATTTTGCGCATGTACTTAGAATACACATACCTATATATAACCTATCATCTAAGGAGACACGTTGATGATTCTCCTTGCAGAAGTCTGGTTCTGCTTTCAGCAGCACTAAGCGGTCCCTTGTAGGCAGCTTCTCCTTCGTGCAAGAGTCCAGCGGCGTGCAAGAGACGTTGGACAGCTTTGACCTTCTGCACCTCTCCAAATATGAAAGGGATCGGCAGGAGTTCCTGAAGCTGGGACGCTCGACTATCTTATTCTCAGAGTTAGAGAGTTCGCCCTAAGCCTCCTGAAATGGAAGGGTACCGGATCGTCAAAGCGAGGGTATCACATTTAAAGCGCAGCTGGAATTGCCGACTGCCCAAGAATGCAAGCGCTTGACCGCGGATCACATCTTGTTGGGAAAACCGACAGAATTGTCGTGTTTCGTCACATACTCGGAATGAAACTCGAGGAAGTGGCCGTTTTCGTGGCTGTATGGGAATATTTTTTCTTAACGCCGAACTTAGTGGCCCAATAGTGGCCCAAAAGGTGCATTGATATCCCCATACGGACTTCTAGCCTGCACTTGCATTTCGCCCTTGAGGATTCAACGATACATGTTGTGCATCTCCGCGCTTCTTCAAGCGCCATGCCGAATTTCGAAGCAGTGCCGCGCTTAGTGGACTTTGCATGCCCCGGTTCCGGCTGAACCGCAAACGGGAGAACAATGCGGTGGTTTTACGCAGTGCACCTGAGCCTTGCACTTCTCGCGCACAGGAAACTTCACTGCCCCCTTCTACATCTTCCCCGCGATGAATGTGACATGTGATCCTGCAGCCTACGCGTGCAGCCTGGCCAATTCAAGCAAGGACACCAAAGCAAACAGGCCAAGTTCTCAAGCCATGTGACAGCTAGGGTTGTTCACGCGCAAGCCTCATGCTTGTCGGGGAAAACTGCATGCAGTGTTTTCTTGGCCGGTTTGAGCCCAGGTGTCTGCACCGACCCGAAGTGTCATCAGCAAATCCGACGGACGGCCACAGCCTCCACTCGTGCCTTGGCGCAGTGTTGGGCGGTCAAAACGCAACGCCTGTTGTGGAGCCCAACGTGTTTTTGTTGTTTCTTTCTGTTTTCTTCTTGTTATTTTCGTTGAAGTGGCTGGATACTTGTGTGACGAATGTATGACAAGCTTCACGTTTGGGAATTGTTGTAAAAACTGCAAATCCATGATGCAAAGCAAACTGTTCTGGTGGAGTTCCGGTGTCGGCCATACTGTTTTGTTTCGGACTGGGAGTGGTGTGGGGTGAGCTGGTTGTGTTTTGCGGATTTGGTCCCAGAACGACAGCGACACTGCACAGAATCTGATGTTTCTGCTCGCTGCTAGAATCCACTGTTGTTACATGCATAAATTTGAGTCGTTTCAGCAATGAAACTACATGGCACAACAGCTTTGCTTTGGCAGGTGTGTCCTGCATTGCCTGCCCCATGGGCCAGTACTCCCTCTTGCCCTCCACGCGACCCTTGAAGGGCGATCATGAAGGCAGGGCGACCTCCCACTGAACATGTTCAGATTTGGTCGACTGAGTCTTTGGCCATTCGGGAGGGAAGTGGTCCCAAAAGGCCTGGCATTCTCGGCCAGCTTGTTCCTTTCTTGGGCTCAAGAAGGATCTATCTTTTGGAAGCCTCAAGAAGCGGGCATGAGTGCCTCGTATTTCAAAGTTGGGTAAAGAGAGAGGAAGAGAGCGACAGGTCAGATCAACTTGCAGGGGCCTCAATTGCGGATTTTGCAGGTACACCATTCATCCGCCTGATATGCCCATACGTGTTGGCAGGCAAACGTCATGAGGAAGGCTGATCGCAGTCCAGGCAGGATAGAATCTATCACCAAGGCCAGCTGGCGCAGGCGGCAGCAGCTGCATCAGCTGTGACAACATCGCCAGACAGGCCGAACGTTGAAAGAGGGATTCAAGAGCTGGCCAGCCCTCGCATGTCGCAACGCCTGTAATACCTAGTCGTTGAGGTCGCGAGAGCATTCGCCTTTTTTTTCAGGTTGGTTTAAAGGGAAACACCATGTTTCTGGTCTCATCTGCTTTGACGGCGCCGAAATGGTGTGCTACGAGAGATCCTGGCCCAACCCCATCTAAACAACTTTGGACCATGGCTATCATCCGAGCGCGTGTGACATTTGATTGGGAGCGTGCGCGGCTTTTCTGACAAACATGGTTCAAACAGAGTCGAAAGCTGCAACGGTTTGGCCTCCAAAAGTAAAGTTGGAGCAGTTACGACAGGAGGTAGACTCCAAGGGAGCTATGTCACGAAGAGTTTCCATGGTACCATGATATCTCCGTCGAGCTAACGTAGCAGTCCAGCACTGTGTCGCTTCAACATATCATGAGTTACCATCACTTGTGGCCATGTGCTCCATGAGCAAGACAGTCATTAGCTTGTAGTGTCAATTCGGTGTCTATCATTGGAAGTGCGAAATACTGCCATTGCGTGTTTTTTGCGACTTTCCAACCTCTCACCACATTGTCTAAACAAGTCTGGTGCAGTTTGTGTGCAAACCTGATAGGTTCTTGGGAGGGGAGGGAGCGAGGGAGCAAGGGATCTATCCGCACTGTCCCATGCCTTTCTTTGAGGTGGGAAAGTCACTGGTCTGCTCTGGAAGCACCTTGGCTCGCAACAGAGTCGAAAGTAAGCGGAGGGAGCCGTTTGTGGCCACCGATACCAGCGCTGCGGGCACTGGTTGTTTGCTGGATGATGTTATTGTTTGTATGTCAATGTTTGTGCTGTCCGTGTTGTTTCTTCGTGTGACATCAGAGGCAGAAGCGAATGATGCATACAATTGGTTGCTTTTTGTTGCGCCCGATAGTTGAAATCCTGCCAAAGCAGAGTTGTTGGCCAACACAAAAAAGCCCGGACCCTGATTCTTCCCCTCACATGGGTGTGTCTTGATTTGAGGGGTCACCTACTTTGAGACAAGCCATGAAGCGCTGGTTTCAGTCAGACCATGAAGCGCCGTTGTGTTTCATTTATTTGCTCAGGCACGGTGCAGGTACCGCGGGGTATGATGGCTTTGGAGCAAGACGCAGGCTGGGAGAGTTCTCGAAGAGTGCAAGCCGATTCGAAAAGATGGATGGATTATGGATGGACTGTTTATGGTTGGCAGTCCTTTGGCACAATTGCCTTTACTCCATTGACAGAGTCCATTGTCAGAGAGAGCCTTGCTTTGCCACAAAACAAAACGGGCAAACTGAATACATAATTTACATGTTGCATGCGGACCCCTCACTGCCCAGCTTAACTTTGATCTTGCATGTCAAGACCTGCCTTTCAGAAACAAAACGAAAAGCAGGTACAAACAGTTGCAGCTGCGCAGAGTCAGACAGAAGATGACCATCCTTTATGAATTTAGTGTGTGTAAGCCCACCAGTAGCACCGTCCGTTTGCCAGGAAACTTGACATTCTTCCGCTGCCCCAACGCACTTGCCTGTCCTGGAGGAGTGGGAGAAAGGGCTCAGTTTTAACGAGCTTGCGAGATGCCAACTGACTGGAGGTTTTGCCAAGATTTCAATCACATACTACGGCTGAATACGGCTGATCCTTTGGCTCGAGGCTAATAGAGTGCCTTTTCCATCCAAGCCTTTTAGATCCTGTTAGCATCAGATCAATTCAGCATGGCCAAGAAGACCGCGACTCGCATTGACTTTCATGATTTGCTTGTCTTTCTCTCTCAGGTCCTGCAGAGTGCGCTCCTACACAGACATGATTTTTTGGATTTGCAAACGACCAGGGCAACCGAACCACTCCGTCCTACGTTGCCTTCACCGACTCTGAGCGCTTGAGCGAGCAAACCAGTGGGAGATCGATGCTGTTCGGTTGTCAGCTTTGACAGCTGAGCGGCACGCGGCCTACTTGGCTGACTAGGATGTATTGTCAGTGTCAAATCACACCACAGCGAGCGCTTTGGTGACGCAGCAAAGGCGGGCCTGAACACCTGAGAGCACTGTCTTCGATGCAAACCGATTGATCGGCCGCAAAACCCCATCGTGCACCAAGCCACCAACGATCTGACTGCGGCCATCGCTTATAGCCTGGACAAGAGGGGCAGCAAAGCGAGGAAGAACGTGCTCGACCGTGCCCATCTACTCAGGCGGTGACAAGAAGAGTGTGCACGGTGTGGGTGCTGGTGCAGTCGATGATCCAGCAGTTCTTCAATGGCAAGGAGGCAATCCATCAACCCAGACGAGGCTGCGGCCGGTGCAGCAGTACAGGCCGCCATTTTGACCGGGGAGGGCTGATCTTCTGTTTTTGGATGTGACGCCGCTTTTCACGGGTTTGGAGATTGCAGTTGGTGTGATGACCAAGTTGATTGAGAGCAACACAACTATCCGGACGAAGAAGCTGGGTGCTAAATAGCCCATAAGTGTTTGATTGTCGAAAGGGGAAACCAAAAGGGGTGGGCAAGTGTTGATTGTTGCCAACCCCCCCTCACCCAATCTAGCAGCAAGGAAAGCGCAGACCCGACCTTCAGGACCTATCAGCCAGCCAGGTGTCTTGATCCAGATCGAAGGCGAGCGCGCCATGACCAAGGATCATCACAAACGAGAAGGGTCGGCTGAGTCGGCTGTCGCAGTCGGAGATTGACAGGGTGCAAGAGGCCGAGAAGTACAGTGCCAAGGACGAGGCCAACAAGCATAAGATTCGGGCCGGGAATGGCTTGGAGAGCTACTGCTTTACCATGCGCAACACTTTGAGCAAGGAGAAGCGGAAGGACAAGTTCGAAGGTGGTGATAAGGAGAAGATCAAGGCCGTGCAGGAAGCACTGGATTGGCTGGATAAGAACCAGCTGGCGGAGAAGGACGAGTTCGAAACAGAAGGAGCTGGATGTCATTTCGAACCCCATGCAGGTGTACCAAGCTGCCGGTGGTGGTGGCATGCTGCAAGGTGGTATGCCAGGTGGTGGCATGGGCAGCGCTCGGGGCGGCAACAGCCGCCCAACTGTTGAGGAGTTTGACCAATTCGATGTGTGCATCAAACACTTTGGCATCAAACACAAAGTGTTTGAGTCCTACAGGTGTGGGAGACCTTGTTCAAAGCTTGTTCTTGGGCTATTGGCAACTTGCCAATGTCCAGGAAAAGCCTGTGCATGGAACAGCATGCTCGGAGGCCACATGCGAAAAGAAAGTGAAAGAAACACGGTTGATCCTTTGGTGAGGGCTGAGAAGAAACCTGTATACAGCCTACCTGCCACGTGCAACCTGACAGAGGAACCCTTCAGGACTGCTTTTTTCCAAGGCTTGAGGATCTTTCTTGGTGTATTTGTTGAATCTATTGCCAGCCGTCAGAGTTTCGGGCCAGGAAACATGGCTGCCAAGTCCAGGGCTTGTGCCAGGAGCCCGGACAGGGCCAAGGGACAGGGCCAAATCAGGGTTGTTCCACGCTTGAGACAAATGGCGCAAGAACACCTACCGGTTGACGGGTCATGTCTCCATTTTGCTAGTAGCCGGCCGAAGCTCCCGTGGTTTGCACCCAATTCAGCGGCTTCAAACTTGTTGGAGTTGCCGAAGTTTTGCACCACCTTTTGTGAATGCCAACAGCATAGGAAAGGGGGAGGGGTACAGGTTTGCTTAACACTTCACGGTGAAATAGAGTTGGGAGAGGTGGTGCAGGATTTTGCACGTCCGAACGTTTCTCTTTCGTCCACCATGTTGGAGGAGCCGAACTACGGCTTTTGGGGTGCTTCATTCATCTACATTAATTTCGATGCCTGGATAGGGAAAGTCATAAAATATTGCCAACTGTGTCCACCCCAGGCCTTTGGACGTGGTATGAGTCAATGTTTAGAGGGGCCCTCTTTTGGGGGTACCCCATGTTTGTTAGTTTTAAGGGGAGTAGAACAACCACCATGTTGAGGGGTCCCCAGACCCATCTTGCTAGGAACATTGTGGTCCGATTCAACCAGCTGAGGCTCTAGGCTACGAAGGCAGCTCCCCTGGCTGCACCACATGTATGGAGGGCTTCGGAAAGAAAAACACAGCGCCTGGGCCGCAAGCGAACATCGATCGCGAGCCGAGCGAGCCCGGGGTTTGTGACTCATCCCATCGCGTTCTAAGAATGAGAAGGGAGGGCAATGGTGTTCAATTGCTCGTTTGGTTGTTTTATTTCGAGGATTTTCAGATTCTGTGGATGGTTCTCGCTTTTTCTTCTGGGCCGGCTTTTGGCTTTTTGTGGTTTGCTGCTTCGTTGTTTCCATCCACAAAGAGTTCTTGGGATGCGTTTGAGACTGTGACAGCACTGTCAGCTGTCCAAACTCCATTGGACTCGGCAAGTTTTTGTCACACCCAGGCAGGGAACTGGGAAGTTTGGTGGCATCAGACGGCTGGACAAAGAGGCGAAGTGCAGAAATCGTTATGCCTCAAGATTGCTTTTTTGCTGGACCTGGGGGATTGACTATCGAGGGATATACCTGACTGATCAGGTTGGACCGGTGTGCTCCATGCTTGGCGTTTTGGGTGTTGCACTTGGACCTGGGGGTCGCCTGTGCAAAAACAAAAACGCGTCGAATAGATGGGTCAGATCTGGGGTGCGTCAAATATCAGTTCGGTCTTGTTTGGGTACCCTTTGGATGGTTTACCCGACCGCAAAGGGCTGCCTAACACATGGATGGTGCCTTAAACTGTGAGATACCCACATTCGGGATACATCATGAATACCGGCCAAGGATCCCTTCGTGTGCAAGCCCTGCGGCCGCCTCTTTCTGGGATGGGCCTACTTCCTGCTCGTGCCCATCGTGCCACGGAAATGAGAAAAACAGTTCCCATGTGTTGCATACCTTGAGTGGACTGGCCAGAGCCCGTGTTTATGATGCCTTCGAGAATTTCGAGCTCCGGTTGCAACCGCCCTATTCCCTGTGATCAGCCAGTTTGCCAGATATTGGACGGGGATCGGTGTGCACAAGCTAATGAGATAATATATTCGTGCTTGTAGAGCTCAGGTGCCCGTGATTTTAGCAGTTCGGTCTGCCGGCGAAACCGAAGCTTCGCAGCATTCAAGCTGCTCAATCTATTTGAGTGACCAAGTGGTTGCAGTACTTGGCCACGCAGCCTGATGATTTTTCAGCAGACCCTCCCAGCCAGCAAAGCAAAGCTTCTGGAGAAGGAGACATGTGGTCGGCCTGGGGCAAGCAGCAAGAAATTAAATGGGCACGGAGAATTTGCCAGTGCTTGCGGGCCTTGCATCCGCTTCAGTTCTCAAAGTCCCAGCTTGTTTTTTTGCTTTCCAAGTGCGTGACGTTACAACTTGAGACGTACTCTTGATTTTGCCGAGGAGAAAGAGCGAATGAGCATGATGATCAAAGTGATCTTGTCCTTCGGAACCTTTGTGGCCAATGTCCAGATGGTACTGCAGCAGAATCTGAGCAGCAGACTGGACATCAACTTCTGCACATGTCTATGGCATTCGCTGCCGCTGATTGTCTCTCACAGATCGCTCCCTTGTAATTTGTGCCTGTTCCAAATGGGCAGTTTGATCCAAAACGGTTTCCTTCAAACCAAGGGCCCATAAGACACGAAGGGCCTGGCTGTGCAACCCAGGACAGACATCTACGACCGCTTCGAGCACGAGTTGAAGCTGACTCTCGGTCCCTTGCTCTCAAATATCTTAGCTGAAGTGGCATAAGGTATGAGTGGCTCGTCCTTTTCGAGGTACCCCTTGTGCAGTGGCAAAGGAAACCAAAAGGAAACCGTTTTTGTATTCTTTGGGGGGTCCGGTTCCTTAAACAAAGACACCCGCATTGGTACCATGCCTGCCGTCGCACCTGACGAGGGGTTCCTCAAGAAAGCTGATCTAGGTACCCTCCCAAAGGTGAGAGGAAGGGTATTTTTGTCACCCAGCGTGAGGAACATATGTCATGACCTGGCCCAAAACATACAGCGCTGGCTGCCTAAGTGGTTCATCCTCACAGCTTCTTTTCAATGATGGTCAGATGATTTGGGTTGATGTCTTGAGAAATCCATATCTTGCACAAAACGGTGCCTCAAATGCAATGATGGTCAGATGATTTGGGTTGATGTCTTGAGAAATCCATATCTTGCACAAAACGGTGCCGCAAATGCAATGATGGTTAGATGATTTGGGTTGATGTCTTGAGAAATCCATATCTTGCACAAAACGGTGCCTCAAATGCAATGATGGTCAGATGATTTGGGTTGATGTCTTGAGAAATCCATATCTTGCACAAAACGGTGCCTCAAATGCAATGATGGTCAGATGATTTGGGTTGATGTCTTGAGAAATCCATATCTTGCACAAAACGGTGCCTCAAATGCAATGATGGTCAGATGATTTGGGTTGATGTCTTGAGAAACCATATCTTGCACAAAACGGTGCCTCAAATGCAATGATGGTCAGATGATTTGGGTTGATGTCTTGAGTCTTGCACAAAACGGAAATGCAATGATGGTCATGTCTTGAGAAATCCATATTGCACAAAACGGTGCCTCAAATGCAATGATGGTCAGATGATTTGGGTTGATGTCTTGAGAAATCCATATCTTGCACAAAACGGTGCCTCAAATGCAATGATGGTCAGATGATTTGGGTTGATGTCTTGAGAAATCCATATCTTGCACAAAACGGTGCCTCAAATGCAATGATGGTCAGATGATTTGGGTTGATGTCTTGAGAAATCCCTATCTTGCACAAAACGGTGCCTCAAATGCCGCTGCTTCGTTGGCAAGCCCTGTTTCGTCTTTGGCTCTATGCGACTCGCGGCATTTGGTCGTTGGATTTAGGTCTCATTGCTTCCGAAGAAGTGGCCTCTGATGCCCTGCTCTCCACCAGCTTCGACTGCTTACTTGGTGCGGCCGGGACGCGCCGCTGGGATGACGTTGGGCTGGAGGGAATAAAGCGGCTTAGGGTGGCATGAAAAACTGCAGCCAGTTGTCATTTAAGGAGGAGCACTTGATTTTGACACGTTTGTCAGTTTCTGGCAAAGCTTCTCGGAGCCGCACTTTAGTTGCTGGCCTTGCTTTGGAGCCTTGTTCAGCCACCTGTCAGAACATTTTATCCTCGGACACTCGCGCCCAACATGTGAAGAACTGAAGTAGCAGGAATCCGCTAGCCCACTTGGTTCGCTTGGTGCTTCAAACAGAATAGCAGCTGCAAAAGGTAGAGACAACGGCAAGAACAAGAAGCCCACGAGTCAGCGACGCATTCTGTGCAGTGAACGCGGCCCCAGGATGGGATCGTTTGGGCTTCCAAGCATTCCACCCGGCCCTCTTGCTGATCATCTTTGCCTTGATGGTAGCTCGCCTCAAAGCTGTGCTGGATGGATGCACCAGCGATTGATTGGGCGGTATCCCTTAGTGGAGATGCTCTACTTGAGTGCTCCACACAGTTGCCCCAACCCAAATCCCGGCCTCGCAAGCCCTGCTTCTCAGGAGCTGTGTGCCCAGAAGGCTTTCCAAGCCTCTTGGGTGCGGTGTTGCATCGTGCTGGGCAACACGGCAAAGAGAAGGGAAGCCATGGGTCTTTGAGCAGGGCTTGCTCTTGGGTCATGGAGGCCCAGTTTCACTCCCATCTGCCATTTCGGGCTACTTTTGGTGGGCTGATTGCCAAGCCACGGATTTTCAAAGAGCCGAGGCAACTCCTTCCTGCCCCCGGTCTTTGCCGCCTTTCTGGAATGGACACCCTGCTTTCACATGCAGAAGCGCGAAGATGGCAGCCACTCAGAGTCCAACGCAAAGCCGGAAAGCCGGAAGCCATATTGAAATTGACCAGTTCTCATGCCCAGCCCGAGCTTACATGGGGTGGGTGTGGAAACTTGTTTTTGCAGTGGTTTGTGAGGGCCATCGCTTCATGTACAGTACTCCGAGTCGCGTGCAATTTCTTGGGTACCTGATGTAGCTGACAATCTTCGCTCGAAGTTTGTGAAAGGGCATGAGATGAGCTGAGATTACAGTCTTTAAGCAACAATATCAATGTTTGACCAACATGACCCACTTGTACAGCTTCCAGACTTCCTGACGCAGCACACTTCACACCACTGGACTTGGCTCTCGCAGGAAGTGGCATACTAGGCTATCATGTAGTGCACGTGTTTTTAAGCAAGAGAGCACTGGTTGTTTTTTGAGTTGTTAGCAGGCATTGCTTTCGAGCTCCTTAGCACGTGGGCATATTATGCTGAACAGAGCATAGGCTGCATGCTTACAAGTGCATGGCTTGGCATAGGAAATCACAAAGGCGTACAACAGAGACTCAGGCAGGTAGGTGCCAGCGCATGTTCGTTTCGCAGTGCTGTTTGAGGCTTCGACAGCTTTTCCTCCTACAAGACCCAGGAGAGCTGCAACCATGTCATGGGCTTCTCCATGCCGTTGCTGGGTTCCTTGCTGCGTCTTGGCATCGAAGGTCAATCCAGGGAAGGGGCATGGGGGAAGGGTGGACATTATTTGGGGAGGTCTGGAGAATCCAGCTGCAGCTGGGACATCCATTTGCACTTGGCAATTCAAACACAACTGCTTGCAGCTTTCTTCTCGCGATTTTGCAAGCGTCGACTCGCTTCTGTCGTTTGGGCAGGGCTGGAGCGAGGCAAAAAGGATCCAGCGTTCGGTTTGCGCGTTCTCCAAAAAACTAAAGTCAGGACGGCACACTGTGAGCAACCCTTGTGCCAGGGGATAGCCTGGAGCCAGGTTCAGCCATATGAAACACGTCAAGAAAAGAGTGACTCAAGAGATCACCTGTCAGGATACAGATAGATGTCTCGATCGGCATTTTGCCTACGTGCAGACAGGCCAGCGCGAATCCAGACACCGTCAATAGAAAGCTTTGGCTCTTGCGCAGACTCATTACCTTCTTTGTCTTTGCAGCAGTTTGGTCGTTGGATGCTCTAACCCATCCTGGTCTTATCCTGTACTCCGAGCCGTGGGAGAGTCGAAAACTGGAGAGTCGCCAGATTGTTTGCTGAATTGTTCGAGGGCTGAAGTGCTTCGTGCATGTGTGGCAGCGGATTCTGGGCGTTGATTCTCCAAATGTTGTGCTGGTGCTGTTGCTGATGCAAGTTGTCCCAGCAGCTTTGTTGATCCGTGCAAGGGGACCCATTGTTCTTATAGCTGCTTGCCTCAACCTCCTCATGCATTGGCTGTGCCTAAGGTTGCTGCTGGGCGGCCCGCTGTATTGGGCTGTGTTGGTGTCGCGGTCCCGGGATTGGCCGCAGAGGAAGGAGTACATCGGGTTTCTTATTGCAGGCACATAGAGAGACTGACTTGAATGGGTGGGCAGGGTCAGAACGTGCTTCAACATGGTTTGACACTTTCTACAAGCAACTGGCCCGCTCAAACCGACCATACTGTTGGGTGGCTCAATTCAATGCCCGCACTGTGATCAAGTAAGAAAGGTCATGCCCATTGTCTTACGCATCAGCCAGAAGCACATCAAAGGGTTGATGATCCGACGCCAGGCTATTCGGATCATTGCGAGTGGTGGGAGAGCACCGTGCTTCTGCGGAAGGCTTTGCTGACCGGGGCCATGGTCCTTTTGCCTGTCTCCTATGCACCGTTGCTTGGCATGGGAGGGGATATTTTTGTTTGATCCCGAAAGTTCCGGGAAGTTCAGGAAGCTAAGCAACGCCGTGGCATGGGGTATTTGGGACTGTCGTTTTTTGAGGGTGCTCTTTTGTCATTTCAACTAGCAACAAAAGAACACCCAACCATTCAAAAAAACAAAAACTATCACATGACACCCCTTTGAGTCCTGTAGAGTTTCCTGCAGTGTGGGTATCGCTGTCAGAAAGTGGCTTTCCGTCGTCGATGTTGCTCCTCTCTGAAACACCCTGCTATGCTTAGACAAAAACAAAACGAAAGCACAACTGCTATCAAAGCTCGAAGATCGCAAACGGTATGATGTTACAAGCTGGATTTGCCAAAAGGTACTTTGCTTGTGCTGAAGAATGCATGTGAGTGCAGTATGGGTGTGTGCGCGCGCGTTTGTGCCTCCGCGTGCGTTTGCGCGTGCGTTTGGGCTTGCGCGTTCGTGCCCTGCTCTGGCTGGATCGCTTGTGTTGTCCGAGCGCGCCATTGAAACGGGCTTATTTAATGTCATCCTTGTCGTGTCATCATACATTTCTGAGTTGACGGGACCAGCTCTCGTCCCAAGTGATGCACAAGTGACAGCCGTTTTCTATTGAAAGCTGAGCGAAAATGGAACGTAGTGTCAAAAAGGAAAAACGGTGGGGCTTGATCAGATCGAGCACCGAAGCTTGACTCAGGATATCATTGGTCATCATGACAGCCTGCATCATGCTTGCTGCGCTTGTAGGACCGCTTGTATTTGACATTTTATTGCATTGCTGGAGATTGCAGGCTGTCTCATTGAGGGTAGCACCTGGAGCAATGTTTGCATGATTCAGCTTGTGCAAGGGTTTCCACTTGAACAATTGCGCGGGTCTGGCTTCACAGGACACCTGGCCATACGGCCATATAAAGATTCGTTCATGAACGTGCTGGAGGGGTCAGTCCTCACATATTCCATGGTGGCATTGATCATGACTCTGTCACTTGGAAGGCAATTCTAACATGAGCAGGCAGCGATTGAGGGGAGTGCTTTGGGCTTCATTGGGGGCTTAGGTACCTGATGTCCAAAAATTGGACCAGCACAAACAAGGTTGTGGTCTTCATCGTGCTGGTGCTCTCCAACGCAGTCCCAAGCCGAATTTCAGTTTTAGTCTGTCAGAGGGAAGAGCTTAGATCTGGGCGCTGCCACGAACCCTTCAAGGTGACGTGCATCGCGTTGCTTGTTGTCTTCTTGCTGGTCGCCCTGCGCGGCACGAAGGAGAAATCTGCCGAGGAAAGTTGAAGGCCTGAATGATCGAGGTATCGGGATGACATGAATTCTCACCTTGCGAACTCTTGAATCTTCAATCAGATTTGGCTTTATTGCGACTTCTCATCAGATATTTGAAACTGGCAGAGAGCCGGCCGATGAGGCTGCTTCTCATGCTATTGGGTGGGAGGGATGAGGAGGTGGGTGAAGTCAGGGTGACATGACGCATATTGATTCCTGACTCGATCGACCGCTTTTGTTTTAGAAGAATCATCACATATCATCACTTGCGGGCAGCGATCGGCCGGCTCACACAAAACCGATACCCTTTCAAGAGACCCTGCACAATACAAAAGCCTAGACAACGGCAGGGGACTCACTAAAAACAACAGGGATACGTTTGAGTAATTTTTGAGCATGGCTGTCCAGGTTCCTTCAAGCAAGGTGCAACCCTATGAAAGTCATAGCTTGCACTACTGGCAGATCGAGACAAAGGCACTCTGATTTCGAAATGTGTTTGTCTCGCAATAGGGGAGGCTTGCAAACTTCCAACACGTGGAATATAACTCAAGAAAAACACCTATTTTCTGATGGGCCAATTTTGAGGGGGACCCTGCACGTTTGTGCACAGCCGATACTTGCACTGGGCTCACATCATGCACTGGTCAGGCAAGCATCCAGTTCGGATGGCCAGAGCTGGCCAGAGTGAGTGAAGCTCACAGCAAGCTGAGACTGGAAGCCTTTTCGATATTTGTTCAGCCTTGGCTGCCAATCTCCAATCCCTTGAGAACTTGGACTGGCCACTTGTTTAACGCTAGAAAGTTGAAATTTGTGTATGTTTCAGCAGGCTGCTTTGAATGCGAGATTCAGATGCTGAAAGATAAAAAGCAGTGACACTGAGCCGAGACTTGCTAGTCTCACGCTCTCACACACGTTGACAACTGCAGTAGTAGTTTGGGAACCAAATCCTTCCACTTGAAGGCTCAGCATGCTTCCTACGCAGAGTATGCTTCGTTTCATGGAGCACGCACTTTGGCATGCAACACGATGTAGCACGAGCAATGGAACAGCTCTCCACCGGTGCTGCAAACTAGCCCAAGACTCTCCACGTGCAACTCCTTAGGGTCCTTGACCAAACGTGTGGCCCAAAGATGTGTGTGTGTGTGTGTGACCACATTTTGCGAGTCTTGATTGATGTAGGTCAAGAATAAAACAGTGTGCAACGTTCCCGTCGCCGCAGTTCCATGTTTGTTGCATGTGCCGACTGAAGCAGCCGCGTGAGAGCGCCAAAAAGACCTGTAGAGGTGACACCTTGCTTGCTTATTTCGTTCAACACACTTTGCCGTCCACAGAAATACAAAGCTTCAGCGCTCCCTTCCTCAGCCCGTCCCACCCATGCTTCATCGTTAATTACAGAGGACTTTGGGAAGCTTGTCTGCTTTTTGGCTCTTGTATGGCCTTAATATTGGAGAAGCTTTGCGGAGGAGTTTGAAAAGCCTTGAGGCCAACACAACTCTCTTCCAACCAGTTTTCTCCGAGGGAAGCTGGGTTGCCTATCAAGGTCTGAGATCCGGGGGGGGGGGTGGGGGGTGGAAGGCTATACTTGTCACGCTTTCTGATTTCATTGGTCGGGAAACTCTTTTGGGTGCTGGAATGCTTAATGTTCGGTCTCCTCGCTTCCTAACGGAGGTTCCTTAAAAGACCCAACAGTTGGTTGCACAAGTTTGACCTGCCACTCACTTGCACGCTCATCAGACTCAATGTTTGCACTGGGCCAGTTGGTTGCAATGGCTCGGCTTGAGATTCCACGACTTGCGCCCAGCACCCACTGCGGCAGCGCGCGCAGATGCTGCTGGCAGCTGTGTGGCTCCGAGAGGGAGATGCATTGCCTGGGGTCTGGGGTCGTGTTTACATGATGCGGGGCCTGGACATGAGAGACTGCAGGATTCACTGCACCGATTTGCTTGTCATTCATTGGTTTCTTTTGGTTTGCAGCTCTGGGAATATACTTGTCATTTGTAGATCTATGTTGTTGGACGGCATGGACAGCTCATGAGAAGGGTTGCTTAGCAAGTACTTGCCTGCATGGGTCTTGCCACAGCTGGAGCCGTGAATTTCAATGGAAGTGTGCTCGCCTGATAGTCCAAGCTGTTTTTGTGCTTGACCTTCCCAAGCATCAGAAGCATGGGCCTTGTTAAAACTGTAAAGCAATCAAGGATAATAGAGGTTGCCATTCAACCTCTCTCTGCTGGGGGAAAGCTTCCCAGTTCTTTTCAGGAATCCTTCTTTCAGGAAGCCATCAACAATCCAGTGGAAACAACTGGTTATTGAAAAGAACGATGGTTGAAAAGCATGGTCGGAATGAATCCCTAGAACTCTTGTCGCACGGTCATGATACCGACTTATGACCCCCCAGGGCACACTGGGCTCATCTCCTCAAGCAATGCCAGAGCACCTTCTGGAGTTGAGTTTAACAAGTCTGAAAAGTCACTTCCTGCAAGTCAGGCCTGAGTGAGAAATTTCACAAAGCTGAGAGAGCAAGCAAAAGCACTGTGTTGGCTTTTCTCCAAATATGGGAGTTGGTTTCCTTTTAATTTCCCTTTTTTCCCAAACCCAAAAAAATACCCTCAACAACAAAACACCCATTTCACCGCCTCCGGCACTGAGGTGGAGCGGTGCCAGCGTCGAGCCTGTCATTTGCTTGGCTCTGCCTAGCAAGGCGCCCTGGGGAAAGTCATGGGGTCATTTGCATGCACAAGCTTTGCCGCAATCGCAAATCCTTTTGCCACGTTCATGCTAGATCTTGTCCATTTGTTGCCAACTGATGGATCCAATATGTTCCTGTTTCACGCGAAGATGCATGCAGACGCAGGGAAATGAGGGGGCTCAGAACAAACGCGGCAACGATCTGCAATGCGATGAGTAGTATCGTGCTTGTCCAGGTTTCAGCAGCATTGCCAGAAACGTGCTTCGGCGTGAGTCACCATGCCACTCTGTCACCCTGCCAGGCCAGCTGGACCCGTGAGCATCAGTGAGCCATCACACCTTGGTGCAGAGAAGTGGTTGGCAGGAAGCATGTTTGGAAGAGCCCTTTGCCCAGTTTCATGCTTGAAGTGCCCACCTTGGCAGAGCGGATGTCCTGTCAAAGTTTGTGAGACCTCCTGCGGCAGCTAATGTGCATTAGCGGCCATGTTGCCAAAATTGATGAATTTAGATGGCAGGCGAACCAGATGCATTGTGACATGGCGTCATGCAAAAAACGAATCAGGTGTCTGTTGCTATCTTGGGGCGCCCTGCCGTAGAACGGAATTCAGGGTAGTTGCAGAAGGGTCGGAGGGACGAAGCCTTGACTGGGACACGGGCTTGAAAAAGTGCAAGCGCAGGATGGTGCTGACCCTGACTTATTCCCCACCCGACAGGAAGGGGTTGTTAGATTTTATGTTGGAATCCGCGTTTGCGATGCTTCTACACGCCTCCACCAAGTATCCCGCCAGAGCAGCTCGCCAGTGGATCCCGCCGAGTATCCCGCCAGAGCAGCTTGCCAGTGGATCCCGCCCAGTATCCTGCCAGAGCTGCCCGCCAGTGGATCCCGCCCAGTATCCCGCCAGAGCTGCTCGCCAGTGGATCCCGCTGAGTATCCCGCCAGAGCAGCTGGCCAGTGGATTCCGCCCAGTATCCCGCCAGAGCAGCTCGCCAGTGGATCCCGCCGAGTATCCCGCTGAGTATCCCAGAGTAGCTCGCCAGTGGATCCCGCCGAGAATTCCTGCCAGAGTAGCTCGCCAGTGGATCCCGCCAGCAGCCCGCCGATGGATCCCGCCAAGAATCCCGCTGAGTATCCCAGAGTAGCTCGCCAGCGGATCCCGCTGAGTATCCCTTGCCGGTGGATCCTGCCGAGTATCCGGCCAGTAATTGTCGAGCCGGCTCGCCAGTTTTCGCCAGCGGATCCCGCCAGTATCCCGCCAGAGCAGCTCGCCAGTCTGGCTTAGTGTCCAAAAGGGCCGATGGGAGTCTCTAGGATGCGGAGGAATTTGTTGTAACGGTCGTAAGCTCGTGAGTGCGGAGGGTGGGGATTGCTCGAAGCGAAGTAATTTTTCGTGTTGTTGTAGAACCCAGGTGAGGCACGCCAAGGCTCCTTCATCATGTGGCTGAGTTGCAGGTCCTGCACGTGAAGTGGTTTCGTGCGCCGCCGCCTGCAAGGGGTAGGCAGCATCAACAATGCTGGGGCGCACTACGAGAACATGTATACATGCGCAGGACTCCCACTGACATCACGGCGCTGTCCAACTCACCTCAAACCAGAACGTTGGGCATATACGCACGTTGCGCACGGAAAGGCTCCCTCACTCGGAGGGAGTGATGTGCCTTGAACTCCAGTTTGGCACTGAAGGCAAAACCAAGCCTGAAAGAAGCATCCCCCACTAGATTCGCATAACATGGCAAAATGACACACACCGAATCATTGCATATTCCTGGTGTTAAGATCGGTGTGGGCCACGGAATCTTTGCAACCAGGACTGATTTGGAGAAGCCCGCCGGCCTCTCACTGAGCTGGCTTTCGCAATTTGGCCTTTCACGCCATGAGCGTCCCCGCTATAGCCGGCAACACTCGCCGCATCGAGGCTGGGTCGAGGTAGTAGAAAGCCCGAATGGGCCCTTGTGTGTTTGCACATTAACGATGTGTCGACAGTTGTGCTGTTGTGCCGGGAGCTAGGAACGTCTAGAGACGGCAGCCCATCAGCTTTCGTGCTGCGGTTTGCCAGCGCGGCGTGTTTTTGAACATTCAATGAGGGTCCTCATGCCAAAGCGCCAACCGCTTATCAGCCGTATACTTTGTGATTACTTCCAAGAGTAACGGCTTGTCTTCCGGCCGCAAGCTGCCCCAAGACTCGAAGTGGCTTGCCAGGTGGACGGCGATGTCTTGGAAATTACGCCGCTGGGCGCAGGCGCTGAGGCGCAGCGTGTGGTGCGAGAGAGAGAGAGAGAGAGAGAGAGAGAGAGAGATCTTTCTTGCACTAGCCCATCAGCAACATTTCCACGTGTTGGGTTCGAATGAGGGCTCCAGGCTCCCGAACAATGAGTTCGCTGGTTTTCATATCCCCACAGCGCTTGGCATCTTCAACAGCGGTAGTTCAGAAGAGGTCGGCCGCTCTTGCTGCATCGTGCGCTTCCGGGGCAAGGCAGGGGGCTGCAGTTTCTTGCCATCAGCATCCAAAGCAAGGTGCTTGTTGTGATCTCTAAGATGTGTGTACATGACACACACACACACAGACACAAACCACCACACACTTGGACACCCACACCCACGCATGCATGCACACGCACGCACGCCCCTCGCACACACTCGCACGCACACGTGCACGCATGCATGCGCGCGCAAACACGCAAACACCCGTCTCGCGCAGGTGGTCATGTTCGACTGCGGCGTTCATCCGGCGCACAGTGGCATGAGCTGCCTTCCCTACTTTGATCACATCAATCCGGCGGAGGCCGCCGCTCTCTGTCATTCAGTCCAGGCATCCAGCCCTGCACTTGCCTAAGGTGGACATTTGACATTTGGCTATGAATTTTGATAGCAACCACCTCAAGAGTGGTTGGTGGACATGTGAATTCCCCAACTTCCCCAAAGGGGCCTGCGTCGTAGCCATTTCACTATTTTAGCGAAATGGTGTAATTGCTTAAGACTGGGATGTCATATGCTGCACCGGCAGTTTTTTGTCGTCTCCCAACAGGTTGATTTGCTGCTGGTGACTCACTTCCACCTGGACCACAGCGGTGCCGTTCCGTGCGCGCGGCCTCCGGATCTGAAAAAAGCATCCACAGCTCGTACGTGGGCCCAGCAGAAGCTGGCAAGGGGTGATAAATTTGTGTATATGTCGTGTATATATATATATATACACATATGTGTATATATATACATATACATATATACATCTCTCTCTCTCGCTCTCTCTCTCTCTCTCTCTCTCTCTCTCTCTGTTTGCATTGCAGCGTCATGTCCCCCCTGAGTTGCCTCCATTTCCGTGCACTGCCCCTTCATGACCCCTGAATTGTTTTCGTACTACTGGCTTTCCCCTTGATTTCCCCTTCACATCCTTTTAATGTCTCGTCATTTTTCGAGGATGTCCTCGTCATGTCCCCTTCAATTCCTTTCAATTCCCCCTGCATGTCCCACCTATTCATTTCCAATCATTTCCCTACATCTCCCTTCGTGTCCTTTGGTTTCCTTGTCCTTTGTTTGCTTTGCAGTGCCCCCTCACTCCCCCCGTTTTCATTTCTTTCCCCTTCATGTCCCTTTCAGTTCCCCTTCGTTTCCCTTTAATTCCCCTTGCTTTCCTGTCATGTCAACTTCCCGTCCGCTGCATGTCCTGGCATTTCCCTTTATTTCCCTGCACTTCCTTGCATTTTCCCTGCGCTCCCCGGTATTTTTCCCGAAAAGGATGTCAACAACACAGAGTTTTCCAGAGTTTCGGCAAAAGAAGGCAGAAAACCCGCACCAGCAAAGTTTCGCGACGAAGACTATTTTAATGGAACGTCATCAGATTACCGCGCGGTACGTGGGGGACCCCCCCCTTCCGACGTGTCAGACGTCGGGCCGGGGGGGGGGTCATCCTCTATCCTCTCTAAGTATCCGACACGCCCCCTGCAATGTCGGCAGAGAGAGAGAGATATATATATATATACATACGTCGTGTCGATTTTGAGGGTTAAACCAAGAGGAAACCACCCAGTCGAAGGAAGCCCTCTTGCGACAAACCCATACTTGTCCAAATGGCGTCACATGTCTCAAGGCACTGTCCGGATTCACTGTGTCCTGCCGAAAGGCGCTCAGCGTAGGTACTTTGTGAATCGCACGGAGTTCAAGGGGAAGGTCTTCATGACGCATCCAACCCGCCCGATCTGCAAAATGCCTCGCCGTCGCGACTTGCGGCTTGCGACAAATGACTTGACACGCCAAAGGACAGGTTTTGGAACAGCGTCCTGCAAGCGAATCCCGTGTGGCAGATATCTCGAATCAACGAACTAGTTGGAGCCCACATGTTCGGGGAGCTTATAGGCTTGTGCTTTCGAGCCAGGCTGTGGCACGACTACTCGCGGGTAAGCAAGATTGCTGCAGAGGCTTGGGCCGTGCTTCCCACTGGGAAGCTAGAGGGGGAGGCGTGACCGCGCAAAGGAGCTGTATGCTCGGTGCTTGGGCACTCCACTGGTTAATTAACATGGAACCCAAACCATCCTTTGAGGAAGCTCGGGCGAGGGGATCCTTTTTTGGGTTCCAAGTGAGTTTGCAGGGAACGTCGTCAATGAGCTTGCCCTGTGGAAGGACCAGATCTTCAGCAGTGAGGACATCAACAAGCCGGGGCCCCAGCAAAGGGGCAAAGCTGGGGCTGGGAATTTACTGTCGGAGCTACATCACTAGTGGCAGGGTCATCATTGTTGAAATGGAGCTTTATCAAGCATGTGGGGTTCTGAACGACTTTCAGGGAGGGGCCACCATTTGGCAGTGTTGAGCTTTAAGTGAGTTTTTGGAAGGTTTGGAATGTTGCCCAAACCACCCTAAGCCAGCCAACCAGCCCCCAGACAATGCCGAACCCGGAAGGCTACTGCCTAACCTAGTCCAGCTGAAAATGCTGCCAGCCCTAGAAACCTTTTAATCAAAAGCCGGACCCAGTAGAATCAAAGAAACACTAGCTCCATTGGGACCGAAGGACTGGGGCTGGCCGGCCGGCCGGCCGGTTGGTTGGTTGGCCGCATCTCCAGCTACCTCTAGGGTATGTCTCAAAACAAGCAGACCCCAAGAATGGTGGCTTCCCCCTTCTTCCTTTAAACCAACCCCAAAAAGGGAACCCTCCAAAAAGCACCCGCATTTGCACCGCAGGACGGTGGAGCAGATCGAGCTCCTGGATTACCACGAGGAGCGGAGCTTCCGGGGCATCAAGTTCGCTTGCTACCGCGCTGGCCATGCCGCTCCTCCGCACTGGCAGGGCTCTCCCTTTTGCGCTACCCCAAGGTGGCTGTGGGTCAAAATTCAAACATTCGGGGACCGCAGGTTTTAGGCCTTGGTTCCATTTACCAAGGTTCCATTTTGGGTACCTATTTTTGACCCACCTAGAGGCAGACTTGGGTGTGTCTTTTTTAGGGGACACCACAAAATGGTGGTTTTACCCGTTAACGCCGACCAACAGGGGCCACCCTCAAAGAAAGACGGACTCTCTTGAACAGGGTGGTTGATGTTTCCCCGAAATAACCCCAAAGTTTAAGCCTAGGAACCCTGGTGGTGTCAAAGGGAAGCAACCGCATAGTTTGGGCATTTGGAGAGAAAATGCCTGTATGCCAAAGCCCCAGTGTAGAAAGCTCATAATCACAATGTCCAAAAAGCGGCCGTGCGCAAGTATGGACACCTGAAATCAGATCTCAAGAGCAAAAGCTAGATTCAGAGCGTCATAATCAAAACCGCCGTGTGCAGCCATGCAATGCAAACGGCAAGCAAGGGTTTTTGCTGTGACCCAAGACGGCCAGTTGCCAAAGATTGCACGGCCAAACCTTTTCGGTCGAGCGCTCTTTTCTTCCATGCCCACTTTGCACGGCTCCATGAGGTGCTGGGCGCGGCGATGTTTATGATCAACATCGGAGGCCAGGATAGCTTCAAAAGATGGGCGTCCCAGACATGGGAAGCCAAACGAAGCCAACCATTTGGGTGCCCAGTTTGTTGGAACGCTCACAAGAAGCACAGGAAACATGTCAATGTTTTGGGTGCCTCCGGAAACACTCGCAAGAAACCAAGGCAGCATGTCAATGTGACTGCAGTTTTTGGAGCACAGCTTGTAAAACACCTCCGTTGAGAACAATTTGTGCAGGGCGCCATTGTGCTTGAAGCACCCATGGGAAACCCCGATGGACGTGTCCCATGTCAGGCATCCGGGTGCTCTACACCGGGGACTACAGCCGTGAGGAGGATCGACATTTGCCGCAGGCTGGGCCTTCAGGGTTGGAAGATGAACGAGCATCGCTGAAGCATAGGTCAAGGTGGGTGTGTCTTCCTTTAAGGGCACTCCCCCCAAAACACAAAAAGCAAGCATAATGGTGGTTTTCGTCTCGGTTTCCCTTCAACACCACACCAAGGAGCAATGCACCCGATTTTTGGGAGTCCAGTCATCGCCCTCCTACAACATGCTTTGCAAGCCAGGCTGAGATCCCGAACGTGCGGATCCATGTGCTGATTGTAGAGCTTGGGAGCCTGGAAACCGACTGCCTAGGATACACATCTCAAGTGCCACTGGCTGGTATCTGAAACAGGCTCATCTCGCCATCTGAGATTTATCTACCATCTTGAAGCAAATTCGAAACCCGAGATCTTCGGAAGAAGAGATGTCTGTGGCATACGAGGTGGCCCGAGGGCCCGAGGGCCTGCGCAGCGCTTTGCCAAGGTCCACATACGGTGTTATGAACCACGAGCCCAGAGAGCCTCAGACAGATCCGTGCGGGGATATGTTCTGCGGTCTTTTTATTTTTCCTCGGAGCGGCTTCTTTGCGTTTTTTTTTTTTCCTCTTTTCCTCTGTTTCATCAAAAGATTTGAGGTCCACATACGGCATGGGCAGATGTGTTTCCTTCTGAGAGGGACAGACCAAACATGCCAGTTCAACAAGAGCGCAACCAGTCCAGCTGGTTGTTGTCAGCAAGTCGCAGAACTTCGTACTCTATGGGCTCCCTGCACATAAACATCGTCGTTTGCACATCTGGAGTTGTGCACAGTCTTTTCTGAACCGAGGAACAGCGAGAGATGCGCTTTACCAACTCGGTGCACCAGATCGTGCGACAGGGTGGCAAGTACTGAGCTCAGACAGTGGCTCCCCTTGCCACTCGTCACGTAGCTGCTGCGCCAGTCTGAGTCTCACGTGGCCAATGAGCATGGCCATGGGATCGCAACCTATCTCATGGGGGAAACACAGCATGAGCTGAGTTGTCTGCTGATGTTGAATTCGCCGTGCGAAGGTTCAAGATGTTTGTGTGTGTGTGTGTGATGCTTTCAGAAAGCGATTTGCCACGAAATGTCAACCACGAATTCTTCGAACTGCACAAAAGAACTGCGGTTTGAAGGCCTCAAATCAGTCTGTTGATTGTGTTGTCCAGGAGATGTCTGCAAGGTGGCTGCTTCCCCAATTGGAACCCGACCTAGGTGCTTGCTGCCGGTTTTTGCGCTGGGACGGGCGCAGGACTGCTGGCATGCTGCATTTGCTTCATGGGATGTCGACCAATGATGGCCCCCAAGATTGGAACCTTTTCAGTTTTTTGAACATTGGGCCAGAGACTAAGGGTTCCGCCGGGTTGTTGATTTTTTGCATTTTATCGCCAATGCATCATACCACCTCGCAGGCTGCCCTGTGGGTCTCGATCAGAAACAGAATCAAGAGGGCGTTGTTCTTGTTTTTCCCTTGATTTGTCCCGGTTTTGCAGATTTGGCGCATCTTGACTTGTTGGCTTCTCGGCGTTTGCCTCTCCGGACCAATCTGCGGCGTTCTGCGGCACGGTTTCTTGATGCGGAGCTGTTGCCATCAGGAAATCCTCCTCATCTTGGAGGACTACTGGGTCAGGCCTCTTAGTACATTTTCATGGCACACGCAGGAAGCTCGCAACACCATAATCATATACAACGCTCGCGAAACATTTTTGGCCCTGAGACATGTTTCAGCCTGGGCAGTGAATTGAAGTTTCGCTTCTGCGGCCAAGGAGAGAAACTCGGACTTGCACGAGATTCCGATCTTCTACAACTCGCCCATGGCAAGCCCAGCCATTGTGCGCGGGGTGTCACACAAATCTCCTTCCTGAAGCAAACAACCCTGGCAACCCTCAGAGTGTACTGCACGAGCAGGTGAATTCATAGTCCCCCAAAGCTCGACAACAACCCACCCCACAAGTTTTGGCGCCGTTGGCTGCAGTGCCAGGCCACAAAGTGCCTGCGGATCTTCGAGACGCTTTGCTGCAGTGATGTTGGCGGTCATCCCCGAATGCTACCCAACCCAGGGAACCCCCAAAGGTTTGGGTAAGGCCTTAGGCCTGGGAAAGAGTTTGTTTGTGAACCATGGTGTGAAACTTCTAAGCGTTGCACGGGAGTAGCAACCAGGTGATCGGCACTTGGCTTGTGCACGCGAGGACCTACACAAATATGTGCAGCGCCTCGGTGCAGGAGCAGGACACTGAGTCGCAAAGTCGATTGGTTTCTTTGTGGACATGAAACGTTCGCCACTTGGGCAACACCCATCATGGCCTGTCATTGCATTGTGAGGTTTGTTCAAATTGATATTCTTGTTAATTAAGGAGCAGCGATTGGCGGTAGTCTTTGGATACTAGCTATGCAGGTCCTGAAAGTCTAGACTCAAGAGTTCCCTGCTCGGCGGAGCTTTCTGACGTGCAGCACGGTCTATGAAACGAAATCGTGGAGCTCCAGGAAGATTTGGGGTGTCGGGTTTCCTCACCTTCTCCATTTCGTGGTTCACCCGTTTGGAGACAAAGCCAATTATGTTTTGCAGAAGCCCATGATAACTCTGTGGCACAGGTAGCGAGCGAATATCATTGAAGACCTCCATGATTAAACCACAGTGGAGCATTATGTGATGAAAGTTTCTACGATGTTCTGTCCAGGTTTTGTGGCACATTGAGGTTCTTATGCTTGCAAGCCAGCCGCTGAATTCGTGCGATGCGATTGGCCAAGCTTCAATATTGACAACTTTACATCCAATGATCAAGTCCGATTGGCCAAGCTTCAATATTGACAACTTTACATCCAATGATCAAGTCTACTTGAATGGAACTAACGCCATTGCAAGGCTGTCACACGAGACAGTTTTCTTTTTCCGCGGCAAACATACAGCCCCGCACAGCGATGCTCGGACGGAAGGGGCTTGATATGTTTCCCTAGGGCTCATGATTGCCGCTCGGGTGGCTATATGTGATGTTGCCATTCGCAGGCCAACCGGTGCAACAATCCCTGGGTATTGAAGTATATCCAGAACATGCCGGACAGGCCAGGGTACGCTGCCATTGGAATATGTGTTGAGGCAATGTATTGAGTGCAAAGTGCTGCTCATTGGAATTTTGTGCGGTTGCCTGGGATAGCCAGTCTCCAGTCCTGCCTGTTTCAAGGTTGGAAGAGAAAATGGACATGTGACATACTGTGGATGAAACCAGTCCGGATGACATCCTATGAATACTGGGATACACCAGCTGCCGTTTGGTGCAGCGTTTTGTCCATCCACCGTATGTCAGAAGGCAGGCCCTTGGTTTTCTAGCCGCGTCTTGCTGTAGACCATAGGCTTTGAAGCAGTGCAGCGGATGTCTTGGGGCTTTGGTGCTTGTAGCGTGGGTTTCCCAAGCCAATAGATTCACACTGCAAGGTCAATGATCCAGAACCATTTGGAATTTGCGGCTTTCCGTTGTCCAATATCCCAGCAAATCCGTCCACGGGTTTCTTGGTTGTCAACAGAATTCGGCTGTGAAGTTAAACGTACCCACCTCAAGTGGTGGGTGGACATGGACCCCCCGCCGAATTCTGATGACCGAAGGGTCCCTTCAAACTCATATCCGTTTGATCAAACTATCGCCTTAGGCACAGCTTTGCCCAGCTGGAGTCCGAGATCGGCGCTTGCGTGGTGCTGGCTGCTCCCGGCATGGTGCCCCAGTCTTGGGCCGAACTGAGCAGCTTCATTGCTTGCCACTTCCATGAAAAGTCCTTCGACTTCCATTTTGCTGGTTCAATGTGGATGTGTCTTAAAATTGGGGGAACCCCGAAATAGCAGGGTTTTGTTTTTCAAGCCAACCAAAAGGGGGGTCCCGCAACAAACAAGACGCTCGAATACAGTCACAATTGAACGATGTAAAGCCAAATAGCGGTCCAATTCCGCTCGTGAAACACGGATTTCCGATGGAAAACTGGCTGAGCGCTCATCAATTCAATTGCTGACGTGGGACGACCATCTCCGTATATCTAGTGTCTTTGACCTTGGCTTAGCATCCAACTCAGAAGGGTTGCTACATTTGAAGGGCCTTTCAACGGCCAGAAATTCTCGAGGTCAGAACGGTTGCATCTTGTTTGAGCCGCGGCTTCATTTCAGACCGAGAGTCTGGTTCTTCGGCTTGAGGCATGCTCCAAAGCGGAGCCTCCAGGGAGCTCTTTGAGTCTTGGGCGCCGGAGAAGAAGTCGTCGCCTCGGGATGGGCCATCGGACAACTAGATTTAGGCATTTGACCAGTTCACAGAGGCTTTCATGTCACAGCGGCGCGATGCTCCTTAGCCTGTTTCCGAGAGCGCAATCACAAGCAACTTGAGCGAGCTTGTTGCAAGAAAGGATGTTTGGCCTGTGCCATGCCACTCTCAGATCGATCGATGCAGGAACGGTGTGATTGTCACCGGTTACTCTGTCCCGGGCACCCTGGCGAATGAGCTCAAGAGCGACCCGGAGTCTTGGCTGAAGTGTTTGTTCTGAGAAGGGCATGGCAGCCAAGCTGAGATCGTTGTGTCAAGTTGTGCCCGCAAGGGTTTCCACCCCCTCAGCATGCTCAAACTCAAGTTCTGCGTGAGATTCGGCAGACTCGTAGATAGTGAAAGGCGACCATAGCGGCTATTACATGCCACAAGCGTTCTTTCTGCTCGCACACCAGAGCCAGCTTTCTTTTCTTGGGTGCAGCTTGTACTCTGAGGAGACGGTGACTTTGAACGATGGGCGGAAGGTGGGATCAGAGACATAGAGAGAGAGAGAGAGAGAGCAGGAAGGAGGGAGGAGGGGAGGGGAGGGGAGGGTAGGGGATTGGAGAGGAGGGGAGGTGAGGGGAGGGGATTGGAGAGGAGAAGAGAGGAGAGGAGAGGAGAGGAGAGCAGCAGAGACTTTGAGAGCAAGCCCCCCTGCAATGCTCCGGCCTACTACAATGGTGAGACATGTCTTGCGCAATTCATTCGGGTTTGTTTGGTGTGTTGTTTTGCAGACAGTGATTTGATGGCACCTGGGTGACCATTTTTATTTGGGGACGCTTTGGTGGACATCAGAGTTTTGTGTTTTGTTTTTGCTTTCAAGTTCGAGAGGGGAGAGGACACCCGTGTGCAACACATACAAACACTGTGCAACAACTGTCAGGCCGTCACTTGAAGCCTGGACTCCGCGAGGTCAACGTGCGTGCCACTGTGAAGTTCATGTCCTTCTCTGCTCACTCGGTGCGCTGACTCGCCTTCGTATCGCTGAAGCCGGTTACCCGTCGCAACGGTCTTCTGTCGCTTTTCCTTTCAAGATGGGTACCCTGCAAAATCGAGCCACCTGTCTGACTGGGTCAATGTTCAAACATAATGAAAGTGTGAGGGCATCGGCAAACCTTTCTGGATTCCTTTTTGTTTGAGCGTGTGCGGTAAAAGTTGCAAAGGCCAACTGTACTGAGCAGCACTTCGTGCTAGCCGGCTGGTCCGCTGAATGGCGGATTTGGCCTGTTGAATTTGTGGCAGGCGACCTGCTTGGCCGATGTGTGCATCTGGTATTTGTGTCATGTGTTGTTTTGTTGGTGACAGAATGAAAAGCTTTGCGTCTTGCCAATTTGCATTGCTGTTTGAAACTCCCAACACAGGACATACAAGGCAATGGGGGGCTTTTCGAACAGTAGATGGCTTTTCGGATGTTTTTAAAAGGGAAGCCACAAAAAACGCCCTGTACCTCCCCTTCGAAGCGAGGACTACAACCAGACCTCTGAGTTCATTCGCAGGCTCAAGGCCAATGTGGTGGCCAGCAGCCTCAGTGGGGCCAGCGCCGACAGCTTTCACAGGACCCATTGAACCGATACACGTTCCAGTGGAGACCTGGAATATGTAAATATATATATATATATGTAAATATTGTAAGCCAGAGTTTAGATAAAGCCAAAATTGGCTGGCTTCGAAGATTCAGGCGTAGTTGTTTCTGCTTTGATACGTTCTGCTGCAAGAAGCGTGCGTGGAATGAAATACCGATCATCTCCATCTCTCCGGGTTTGCATTTGTTTGATTTAGATAAGCCCAGTCTCAAGCCGAGTGGCTCCCTTGTTTTTCTTTATGGCTAAGTAGATTGTGTTGGAGGATAGTGTGCAGAACTGATGCATGAACACCATGCCCCGTGCACAGCATTGACATTGATTCTCAAAAAACGTATTCACAGGGTGTAATGTAAAGCAGTGAATTGATCGCACCAAATATCGACTTGGACTCAGAGTTGCTCCCGGATGGTCAAAAGTTTTGACCCTTGTTTCCATCTGACACGGAGTTTGCCGAATGAACGGAGCTCTGTTCCGACGTCCAAGGTCCTGGTCCATGGGGAGGAGCACGAGATGAACCGAATGAGGAACAAGCTGCGCGAGGAGCCTGGGGAATGTGGAGCATCCCTATACTAGGCACAAGGCGACACCAGGTTCCAGGGCCATATTTGTATGTTTGACTCCCCCACCATGTGATGCGTATCAAGTGTTGCAACGCTTGAATGTCTGAATTGAAGTTTATTGTCGGAAGGTTGAGACTTTGCTCTACAAGGGCTGCGGCCTCACATTCACGAACATTGTTACGTAACTTGACTGGGGTGAGGTTTAAGTTTAGACGTTGAAGCACTTTTCCCCTGTTGGTTTTAAAGGGAATTTATCACTACTGGATATAATATTACATATATATATATATGGTAGCCCCCCCTGGAATACTCAGGTTTTTGGCCAGAAATTGACATTTTGGCTGTAAAAATGCATGCAACACACACGTTCCAGCTTCTAAACAATAGGCTCCAAAAATGCGCTCCGTTTTAGACTTAAATTCTAGCATCGGTACTTAGGTCAATCCAGGATGTGCTAGCACGTGCTAGCACATCCCGGATTGAAGATTGAAGATTGAAGATTCTGAGACCACTTGTTCTGGAAGTCTTCAATCCATCCTTAGGACAAACTGATATGTGCTAGCACATCCTGGACTGAAGATTGAAGATTGAAGATTCTCTGACAACTCTCTCTGGGATTCTTCAATCTTCAATCTTCAATCCAAGATGCGCTAGCACGTGCTAGCACATATCAGTTTGTCCTAAGGATTGAAGATTTCCAGAACAAGTGGCCCGAGAATCTTCAATCTTCAATCTTCAATCCAGGGCTAGCACGTGCTAGCACATCCTGGATTGCCCTAAGTACATATTTGGCGAATTTCAGAAAGACTTGTCAGAGAATCTTCAATCTTCAGATCCTGGATTGCCCTAAGTGCAGATTTGAAGAATCTAAAAGGCATACCCGGAGTGGACGTTGTCAGAATCAAATTGTGGATGTGCACTTGCACTGCCAAGCACCTGCATTTGGCCAGAGGGAAAAATGTTGTTGACATCTTTACAGGTTTTGTGTGGACTTGAGGGCTGGCCAGGATGGAAGATTCTCAATGGAAAATATAGTAGATCTTCAATCTTCAATGCAGGGGGCAAAACCTTAATGAGTCTAGAACAAACTGTCAAGTCTTTAGGGGAGCTATCTTCTCCAGTTGATTATTGAAATCCACAAGAAACCCCAAACGAGTAAACTTGAACTTGGTTTGAACTCGAAAGCGTTTCAAACTGGATATCCTTCCCTTACTTGAATTTCAATACTTGTTATTGGCGATGATGGAACCAAGTTAGACAAGCAACACACACACATGGGATAGTTGCTTTGCAACATGTGTTTCAATTAGACTGAACTGGCATGTACATGGAATTCTGCACAACACTCGGGTTAACATGAAAATGCAACTGCGCAAGGACATGAAGTAGGAATGAGTTCCTTTTCCCCAAGTTGATGATTTGCTGAATTTCGCTGCCAAACCGGGAGTGCACGTTGTCAGAATCAAATTGTGGATGTGCACTTGCACTGCCTGCATTTGGCCAGGGGGGAAAGATGTTGTTGACATCTTTACAGGTTTTGTGTGGACTTGAGGGCTGGCCAGGATTGAAAGTTCTGAATTCTCAATAGAAAATACAGTAGATCTTCAATCTTTAATGCAGGGGGCAAAACCTTAATGAGTCTAGAACAAACTGTCAAGTTTTTAGGGGACCAGGATTGAGGATGTTCTAAACATATGTTTGTGGAATCTTGTATACTCGATCTTCGATCTAAGGCAACACGATCTGAGCAAATGCTGAACAACACTGCGTTTGACAGCATTTATGCCAATAATAAGATCTGTGATTGAAAGCACGCTCCAGGCATTGGCTTGGCTTAGTTCTTGCTTGGTTCAAACCACATGGAGTTCGATAAGGACAATAGCCATCTTCTCCAGTTGATTATTGAAATGCACAAGAAACTCCCAACGAGTAAACTTGAATTTGGTTTGAACTCGAAAGCGTTTTAAACTGGATATCCTTCCCTTACTTGAATTTCAATACTTGTTATTGGCGATGATGGAACCAAGTTAGACAAGCAACACACACACATGGGATAGTTGCTTTGCAACATATGTTTCAAACAGATTGAACTAGCATGTACATGGAATTCTGCACAACACTCGAGTTAACGTGAAAATGCAAATGCGCCAGGACATGAAGCAGGAATGAGTTCCTTTTCGCCAAGTTGATGATTTGCTGAATTTCGCAGCCAAACAAAAATAAGAAACACACAATAGTAGAGCTGCTACAGGCGCATTGAGGCTGCCAAAGCATACTTCGCGCACTACTCTTGTACTGGACAGTTGTGTTTTTTGAGCTGGAGCTGCCAAAGTGAACTTTGCATACTCCAATGTGACTTTAAGTGCACTTCGCGCACGCCAATGTGACGGTCACACAACTCGCAACTCCTTCAACGTTGAGCTTAACTTTTGCTTGGTTGGAATTTGCATGGAGTTGAGCGTCCAGTCAGTTCATTTCAGAGTCGCAAGGAATTTGTCACCCCCAGTCTGGCAAAAAAAACCTCAGTTCTGGCCCAAAACCTGAGTATTTCAAGGGGGGGGTAGCATATATATACATATGTTAAGATATATCTGTATAACGGGACTTATATAAGCAAGTGGAGGTACCGCAATGGCGGCTTGAACCACAAGAGTTTTGCCAAGAATTTTGGCCGACCAAATCTGCATGGTCTCTCACTGGCCATTGGCTCAGACGAGACAGCCAAAGCGAGGAACCCACCGCGACCGGCCCTGGGGCACCAGGCCAAGTCAGGAAGTTTGTGACAGCTCTGGGATAGCATGACAAGCCGACCCACAGCCCATCCAGCCAGCCTTCAATAAAAAGTTACGAAAGGTGTCCTTGTGGCTTGGAGGAGAAGGAAGCAACAAGTGAGGTGGTCAAGCTGAGTCAAGCTCAGGCTTCACAGGCCGTAAACGGGCATCGATTGCGCCTTGCCATGCTGCCACAAAGCCCAAAGAAGGAGCGGCTGCGAAGCTCGGCCATGAGAGAACTGGTGGGAACTGGGGAGAAATCGTGCTTGAAGTCCATGTGGGTGTGTCGTTTTTTGAGGGTACCCTTTTTGGGGTTGGTTTAAAGGGACCCCAAAAGGAAAACCACTTGTGTTTTTCTGGAGTTCCCCCAAAAAAGACACACCCATGTGCATCTCTGGTATCGGATCAAAGTATGTCTTGCTGAAAAGACACCATGGTGTGAACACGTGTCGGCAAAGCATATCGCAATGCATGCAACAACTCACTTGAATTTGTAGCCAGTCACTGGTTGCCTGGTCGGTCCAAAAGCAGAGGCTTGTCATGGGCCTGAGAAGGAAATGTCATGTTTAGAGTGCCAGCCAACACTATGAGTGTGTCCGTCACTTACAGAACCTGAAGTAGATCAATGCATGGCCAGATTGAATTTGCACGATGACATGATATGGAGAGGAACTCGCTTAACAATACAGCTCGAATGACAGGGGCTACAAAACGCTGTTATGTGTGAAGTGGGCAGTTGGCCGCGAGAAGTTGCTTAGCTTTGGTTTTGTAGACTGTCAGATTCACAGCTTTGAGGTCCACTTTGTTCTTTGATCTGCCATGCTCAGGCAGCAAGAGCATCATTTGGGGCGCCCACTGCCTTCGACCGAGGATTTTTACCTCTCCTTGAGCTGGAGCTGGATGAATGGACACAGAGAGAATCTTGCTGGCAAACAGAGGCTGAGATTTGACGAGCTCCAGGCACCATCGCACAATTTGAGCCTTGACCTGTTTGCTTCAAATGCAAGTGTTGTTTGTGTTTGATAGAGCAGGAGAGCATGTTTTGTTGGCGGTCACTGGGAAACGGCATGGGTGGCTTGCAACACAGAGACGTACTTCATCAGCATGCTTTCAAAACACACACACACACCCAAAAAAAAACACGATTGCGAACAGACTCATCTCGCACTGATGCATACATACCGTCCCCTTCCATTCACTTCATACATAAGACTTGAATCATTGTATTATGCTACAACACTCAAAGGCGCAACAACCACAAACACACACACACACAGAGAGACACACCCATGCATGCTCCCTCCCAAGCCCAATCGCAAGCGTAAATATGCATGTGGTCGCTGGCCTTCGGCGAGCGAAGCTCCCGCACCAAGGAGCTGCATTTGCTGGCCGACGCTTTGCGACTGGTGAACTCCAGTGCCACAGCTCCAGCAGTCTGCAAGGAGATTGACGAGCTGCTCTCACAGGCTGGCCATAGGCTTCTGAGAGAGACATTGTGACATGCCACCAAGACAGCGGGAACAACTCTCATGCCAGCAGTACGAGAATGATGGCATCAGTGCGGAAAGTAGTTGTACTGTATGCACAATCCCCGCACAAGAATGGCGCGCTTGTTCGGCACTGCAGTCAGGGTGCTGGTCAGGGTGCTGGCATCCTGCTCCGTGTGTCGGCTATGGATGGGCCTAAGGATGGTGCTGTAGTGGCTATGCCGTCTCGCGAGTGGACATCAAACATAGTCGTCAATGCCTATATAGTTGAAAAGCGGCCTGATGTGACAGATGTTAGAGGGCTTTTATAGGCACAAGGCCGTAAACAGAGGCGCGCACAAACTTCCGCGCGGGTGCCAAGCACGGGAACGCGAGTGAGAGGCGCGCGCGGGAATCCGCCTAAGAAGTGAGACTAAGTGTGGCAGGCGCGCGTGGAGACGTGTCGGAAGTGTACGCACGGAAACCCAGGCGGCCGGCGCAATCCGCACACAGGTGGCACAACGGTGTGCCAAAACGCGTGGGAAGAACGCGCGGAAACTCGAAGGAGTACAATGTGGGAGGTGCGCACGGATTCCTCGGCGCAGGAGGCACAGCATGCAGGAGGGGCACTTGCAGGAATACACAGAGGAGTAGCGTGCAGAAATCCGCGCAGGAGGTACGCACAAAGCGGCGCGCGAGGGAACTTGTGTGGGCTGTACGTGCCGGAGTCTGGGAGACTGTAGCACACGCGGGTCTCGAATGCTATTTGGGGTCTACGCTGGCGTATCTTTTCGAGGGTACCCTTTTTGGGGCGGCTTCAAGGGAAGCATAAGGAGCACTAGCCAGTATCGAGGAAACTTTTTTGAGATGCACCCAAATGGACAAATGTCAATGTTTAAGCCACGCCAAACTATTGTGCTTCAAATGAGCCACAATCAAATCACGGGCCGATGAAAGTTAGTAGCGGACAATCCCAACCATAAATGGGCGTGGGATACGTGCCTTTGAATTTGTCTTTATTGTTTTGGGTATATGCTTCATTTTCCAGGTGTTTTTATTATTACTACACCCTTCATGTCCCATGCTTTCAACAGCTTTGGAGTCCCCTTATTTGTTTCCCTCGTACGGGTGTTTCTACCCCTCCGAATATTTGTTGTTTCCTTTGGGTTTTTCCAAATAAGCTCAGGCGATATCCCCAACAGCAGCGCTTTTTAGTGCTCGCAGCACCCCGCAGCCCTCGCAGAACCTCGTGGAACCCTCGTGGAACCTTACCTCAGGGCCGCCCCGGATCACCCCGGAGCCTATCTGGGCTGAGACCCCAAAACTTTCAGCTCTTGGGGAAAAAAGAGCTACTGCAGGGGGGCACTGGTTCGAGAAGCCGTGGGTTTTGACGGCGCTCAGCTCTGGGCGCTCTGCGCGCAGCAGCGGCTGCCCGCGCTGCGCCTGGCGCTGCGGCTGCTGCGCAGCAGCTCGACCCTGGCGGCGGCCTTCGCGCTGGAGGCGGGGCGAACGCTGGGGACGTCCATGGCACGGGGGTCACATTTTTGGATCTGGTGATTTGGACTGCGTTTCAAGTTTTAGGGGGTCTCGTTTTTGGCAACTGGGGGCGTTTTTGTTTCCTTCAAATGACTTAGGGGGTGACTTTGACCATGGTAAGAGAATGGGGCCTTTCGGGTAAGCGAGGGAAGGCTCCCTGCAAAAAGCAAAAGAAAAGTTGCTGGTCACCTAGATGGGTATCTCCGGCACCAAACCACTAAAGGGAACAGTATGGGCGTTTCTTTTTTTGGCAGTTGGTACCCCTTTCTGGATGGTTTGAAAGGACACCACAAGGAAAAACGAATCCTAAAAAGCGACCTCATTCAGGAAACCAGGAAATCGAATACGTACAACTGGGTTAGCAAAAAAGTAAGAATCAAAGTGTCTTGAATGTGTCTTGTTTGGCGTTAGCGGCCAATCATGACAGGTCGAGATAGTCCCTGATCAGGTATAACTTTGTTGCTCATTGTTGGAGAAAATACAGGGGGCCCTCTACATTGCCAGGAAAAAAACATCTGCCCTTTTGGCTTTCCTCGAGTTTCCTCCTCTCCGCTGGCAAAAAGTGAAAGCTTCAGGGTCTAAGTCTTGCTTTCTTCCAAAGTCTATTAATATCTATTAATTGAATGGCCGAGGGTTGCAAAGTACATTTCTTTGGCCTAATGGCCTTGGGTGAAGGGCTGCCCGCAGGGCTCGAACTTGACCAACTGCTTGCAGTCCAAATGGCCGTAACTCCATTGAGTCAGCATTGTAAGTTCTGTCAAACAGCAAGCTTGGTCGGTATCTTGAGGTGAAAGCCTGGATAGAATGAGTCTGAGGCCTTAGGACAAAAGACACAAAACCACCCAGAATGTTGCAAGGTCACATATGAGCTGCCAGGGATATGTTGTTTGGACGGAGCTCAAGTGATCCCTTGTGCCCCAACTGCGCATGGTTTCGTTCAAACGGCCCTTGGTTCCAAGACGCCAGCCCCAGTTGGCAGGTGGTGCACTTGGCCAGCGTGGACTTGTGGCTGCTGAGCCCAGAAGAACGCCTGGAGCTGTCCACCCAGGCGCAACAGGGCCATGTTCGACCGAAAGCAAAACCAACGGACCTGGACCAGGGTGCTGTGCTTCACGGATCGGGGAAGCCGGATTGATCGATCGAAAGCCCCCGATTTTTGAGTCTCCAACTTTTGAATTGTGTTTGTAACACAGAATACACAAGTATATCAACAAACATATGCATAACAAAATGAGCGCATACCCGCCATACAGTCACCTGTATCATCTATAGAATGCAGTCACTCTCTAGGCGTGGTATGGGTATGAGTCTCCAAAGGCGCGGCGAATGTGCGCTGAGCCTGCCTGGCTGACGCGCGCGCAGGGAGTGCTTCGCCAGCTGCATCAACAGGACGTGATCAGACCTGATCAAGCCTCCACTTAGGGCTTAGGGACAATGAGCGAGGGTTCTTAGGATGCCTTGGCGTTGTGACCAAGACTGATTGGTGGCCTTTGGAAGCGACCTTGCGCAAGGACCACCTTGCGAGACACTGCAGCATGCTGCCACACAGCCAGTCGGCCACCGTCCTCACGGCCTCTGAGAGGTGGAATCGAGTGCTCCAAGTTGGATCGGATGTGCTTCCCAAAATATTGCGCAGTATTCTAAGCCACATTGTCATCAACTCCACCCATTCAATGGGTCGTTGCTTTTGCATGACCCTTGTCATCAACTCTTGTATAAACAGTGTACTGGACGCCATGAATAACTCCTGAGCCCTCACTGGCAAGCTGTCTGCGCAGACAGCGGCCCCAGCCAGATCTTAGAACAGGCGATAGCCTTCGAGCAGTGCTGGCGCAGGCCAGCGGAGGAGGAGGTCAGCCGGCCGCAGACGCTGCAGCTCAAGACGCTGTCGCGGCAGGATGCAGACGCGGCTTCAGGTGTGATGAGAATAGGGAACCACCGGGTCCCCATTAAAATTCACACCCGTGTCCAGATTACGATGGGATCACCCTTTAATATGAGAGTTCACAACGAAACAAGCAGGGATTCAACCAACTGACCGACAGCCACCCTGGTTTGGCCGCGTCCGTGTTGTTGAACATGCTCATGCCAACTACTCCAGAGCTGCTTCGAGCTTATTGAAGTCAAGCTCAAGGGCAACAATGAAAATGATTCCTATCGTGTTGCTTTGGCAGCTTGCGGTTCACTCTTTGCACGGCCATTCAGGGCAAGGGGTCTTTGCAAGGCACTTCGCTGTTACATGTCTTCTCAGATGCTCACCGATGCTCACCGGCTTGTTTGATATGGCGTAAGGCAAGGCAAGGGCAACGCTTTGTAAAGACGTCGATTTTGCGTGAATGGGTCTCGCTGGAAGCCTGGGCACGTTGCACATGAGAGGCAGCGGGCGGCTCCTCGGTCTTACTGTCAGGAGCGGGAGTTCATGCCATCGGAGAAGCCGCGTGCACACCCGCGCTGCTTTGATTCTATGCAGGTCATGAAGCATAGGCGTGGTTGGCTCAGGGTGGGCTGGATATAGGAGGCAGGTTCGGTACAATGGATGCCTTACATATTGCAAGTAGAGGAACAAGGGAAGCCCAGTAATTTGCAACGATCTGTGGTTGGATGCGGCGGATCACTTGCCTTGCTTCGGGACTCGACTGCACCTTAGGCGGAGCCTGAGTCAGGATGAAAAACTCATTGGCCTCGGTTCGAGCTTGCCCAATGACGGGCAATGCAGGTTTGACCTACCACATCGTTACCTGCGACTCTAGTCGCGTCCTGAGCCTTATGGCAATCGCACCCAAGTTGAAATTGATTGTTCCGAGTGCACGCGTATCCCAATCTAAGTGATGTCTACCAACAATTCCCCGCTCATTTTAGATGCACGTCCATGTATTCCACCAGAGATGAGTGACCGTTTTCAGTGAGACTGCCATGCTGCGGACACGCTGGAGCAGATCCCGAGCCTGTCATGACGGCCAGGTAGCCAGCGCAGATCTTTCGTATATTTGTTGCGGGTGAAACCCGATTGCTTAGATTTTTCGAGTTTCAGCATGTTGGGTATCCACCCTCAGCTTCCTTCTGAAGCAAAAGCGATTTGTAGAATGACTTGTTGATGCCCAGCTGAAACTCTGGTGAAGCTGACCCACGGAACCTGGAATCAGGCGTGGACGATGCTTCTTAGGCAAGGCATGCGCAAAAGCTTTCGCTCCACAGCAGAATCAGCTGCATAGCCGATGAGACGAGTGGATTTCCCAACTTTCCGTGTCCGTGATCGGACTGCAAGCTTCAAGTTGCCAGGAGTACCCAGACTTGAACGTCACTGCGCCGCAGAACTGCAGCGACCCGAGCCAGCATCGTTGCTTCACGCTCAAATGTAGCAGCTGTTTGCTTGGATTAGCAGGCTCAACCAAAGAGAGTGGAAACCCTGAGCTAAGACCAAGGCCAAACAGTCGCTCTTCGCGTGCCTCCTGACCGCTCTGCAGATGCCATTGGGAGCATCGTGGAGGAGCCACAGTCCTCTGATGCGACTTCAGCATGTGGGACACACTTCGGGGGAAATTGCAATTCGGCTCAGAAACTTTCAGCTCGGGAAGATTCGGACTTCTCGGTTCTTGGATGAGCTGACGGAAGCACTCGGCTTCTGTTTGGCTACTTGAACAGGGGTAAAGCGACAAACTGCGAATCAGGGAGGGGAGCAAGAAGACCTTCACACCATGCTACAAGTACACGAGGCTGATAAAGCTTGACTCCCGACTCTCATCCACAGCTTCATTGCGTGTTGTAGGATGAGAGTGCCGCACCTCGGCACACGCACACTTTCTCACATACACCGACACACACACACACACACACACCCACACCCAGACCCACACCCACACCCAGACCCACACCCACACCCACACCCACACCCACACCCACACCCACACCCACACCCACACCCACACCCACACCCACACCCCCACACGCACGCACGCACGCACGCACGCACGCACGCACACGCGCACGCACGCACGCACGCACGCACGCACGCACGCGTGCACACAGGCCCTTGCGCACGCGCACGCGCGCACGCACCGGGGCTCAAACTCCCACTTTCAAAACCCTAGATGATGCTGGGGGGCTTTCTTCTCGACCATGTGTTGTCGTGTCTTCATTTTTTGGAGTTTGTTGATGCGCCCTAGCAGACTTGGAATTACGGAGACGGTGCAGGAGATGGTCTCGAGCAAGAAGGGCCGCACAGAGGTTTGACCCTGAGAGCTGCAGAAAGCTGCGGCTAAGTCGAATCGGTGGCTCGATGTTCTTGCTTAAGACAGGGCACCTGGAAGGGGTGGTTGGCTTCCTATTGATTTCCTGACATCCATCAAGAGGCCCGCCTTGCTGGCTCAAGAGTCCATGCCCATTCCCATTTGTCAGGTCTCAGGCATGTTGGTGGAAGACTCCACAGGCGCCGTGCACAGAGCCTTGTGTCATGTTGCCGACTGGGGGCGTGGTAAGTGGATCGGATCGCTTGCATAGAATGGACTGGTCAGTCATGAGGTGTTTGATCAACCTTTTGCATCAGGCTGTCAGAAAGCTCACTCCAGCAGATGCTGTATGGCATGGCTTGGCATATTATATGGGGATCATATCACCTGCATTTTCTGGATGCAACTCCATGGCGTTCAATCTTAAAGGTGGCCAATCGAACTACCTTCAGAAATGGCGTTGGACGTGGAGCTGGCACCTATAATATGATACTCAGTGGGTGAATAAGTGTGATGCGTCGATTGAATGGCTAGTGCCTGCGCAGTACAGCAGGGAGCAAAGGACCAAGGAGGTTGATTTCGATTCCGGATCTGTTTTTTTTTTTTTTTTTTCTGTTGTCAAGCCCCAAGTTGGGAATCCGGGGTTAACATCACCTGGATGTTGCAGTGGCTTTCATGGGAAGCTTGTACAGGGTAGCGTCTCGCCTCGATCTATGGAGGAGCTTTGGAAGTTGTTGCTTTTTGATCGCTTTTGGATAAAACTCGAATCTATGTCAATGGGCAGACTTTGCAGCAGATCGAGCCTGCGAGCATAGAGGTGGAATGATAAGGATACTGGAGAACATTAAGGTACTGCTCGAACTGTGTCACTGACTTGATCAGCACTTTATCAGCCGCAAAACAATTGGATGTTGAGCCGCACAAGTGGCACACGTCCAGAATTCTGCTTCCACTTGCAATGCCAGCTCAGGCTTCTCGAATGGAGAGTCTCTGACATGATGAAATGGGTGTCTCTTTCTGAGGGGGGTTCCCAAAACGGTGGTTTTCCTTTGGGTTTCCTTTTCAAAGCTACACAAACCGGGTATCCTCAAAAAAAGACGCACTCATAGTTATATATAATATATATTTATATATATATATGTTCCAGGCCGTGGACCCCCCCCCCCTCCCCCCCCAACCCTGTGGGGGTGGGGTGGGTGGTGGGGTGGTGGGGTGGTGGGGTGGTGGGGTGGTTGGGTGGTTGGGTGGTGGGTGGTTGGGTGGTTGGGTGGTTGGGTGGTTGGGTGGTTGGGTGGTTGGGTGGTTGGGGTGTGGTTCGGAGTTGGTTTAGGCTTGGTGGGTTGGTTTAGGGTTGGTTCAGGGTTGGTTCAGGGTTGGTTTGCGGTGGGTTTCGGGTGGGTTTGGGGTTTGGGTTGATTTAGGCTTAGGGTTGTGGTTAAGGAGGGGTTGCAGGGTGGTTTGGTTTAGGGTAGGATGTTGCGAGAGGTGCGGGGGTGTTGGTTCACGGGGTGAAAGGGGGAGTCTGGGACCGAAGCTGCAGGGCTCACATACTGGACAGCATCCCCAGCATTGCCAGCATCATCCCCAAGATGCGGATGATGCGGGGGAGTGGGGGGACCATACCTTTGGGGGGGGGGGGGTACGTGGCCCAGGGACTGGTACATAAATATGGTAGGCCCCCCCCCGCAACTCGCAATATGATTGCTGGTCTATTGATGTCTATTTTGGTTTTGGGATTGGGACATGAGAAAACAAGGACAAGGGACCGAAAACAACATACAAGCCTCTTCCAATAGGGCATAGGACAACCCACAGGACATAAGAACGCAGACGGACACCTCACTCCTCCTCAGCCTGGCCATCATGAGGTGCCAGGGCGCTCCTGCGGCCGGAGGAGAGGGGAGACTCGAAGCTCGGCGGTCGAGTGTGTGGACCCAATGGCGGGGTACTCCCTGAAATCAGGCACCCTAATGAACCTGTGGATGAATTGGGCGTGTGCCCTAGGAAACAAAGTTCAATCCAAGCAGTTTGGACAAATCCGTCGAGAGTCAATACCATCTTGTTGTCATATGAAACCATCTACTTGTTGTCAAATGAGGGGTTGACACAATTCAACGGCGAGGGTGCAGAAAACCGAGAAAAGCCGGACCACCGTGTCACGTGACTTGCAAGAAAGGAAGCTTTGCACATCCAAGATGTTCACATGCACCAACGTGTATGTAAAGGACTCCAGAATTGTCTGAGTGCAGATCGGAAAGAATCCAAGACGGGGCACTATAACGATTGCATTTTGCGGCATCCGGCCATGTGTGTGTGTGTTTCTAGGTTTCCTGTTGGTTTCCCTTTAAAACCACCAAAGAGGGGTACCCCGGTACCCCCCAAGAAAGACAGACCCATACTGGGCATCTCAGTTCGAGAGGACTTGGGCACCTTCACCGCTCTGAGCTCCTGCCATGCACGTGCCTCATGGAGTCATTTGTTTTATCGAGGGCGCTGTCCTTTGGATTGTCTCAAGGGATACCTTGCTGGGCTGTGCAAAGGCTCAACCCTTACTTTGGGTTACGAATTGTGTCCCCTTCGTAGTGGTTGTTCAACAGAGATTGTGGAATGGAATTGGCAACTCCATTTTGAACAGCAAAGATAAAGGGACGCCACCATTTTTGAGTTTGAATACAACCCCGACTGCCTTGGATTGGGCATTGATTGCTCATGTCCACATTGAGTTTTTGGAATCCGAGACCCAGCGGTGAGAGCAAGCAAAGTTCAAGCCATAGGTGCCATGGGCAGCCTGGGTTGACAGCATCATCTTCATTTGCTTGAGGAGCCGTGACTACCCCCCAAGCCCCTACACAATGTTGCAGATTTTGATGGCACCTTGTCTGCTATCAAGGCACCTTGGGGTGGAGCTTATCACCCTTAGACTTGCCCGAGCTTTTGACTGGGGCGTTGTGCCTTTTGCCAGCTGAGGTTGAGCAGTGCCAGCGGTTCGTGTTCCCCCACAGCTTGTCGGCACTAGGCCCAACCGATGCAATTCGAGAATAACTACAAAAGTGCAAGTCCAACTCAAAATCCATTCATCTCAGAAACACTGATTTTAAATGCTTCGCAAGGTCAACATGTGATTTTGAGGTTTGATAGTGTGTTCGTAGCTGCGAGTTCTGAATCACTCAACCGGGTCCTCTACATGAATTGTGGCAACATGTTGCTTGCTGCTGCTGCTCATTCAAGCCAGATAGAATCCACTGTGGAAAAGATATGCTGGTTGTTTCGTCTACTTTGCCTGCCCCTTAAAAGGAGTGAACAACCAATGGAAACTCAAGGAACATGCACTTTCACTTCTATTTGTTTACAAGTTTTAAATTGCTAAACCATCATTTTCAACTAGGATATCCGTTCCAAGTAGGCTTTTACTTATTTTCAAAGCAAGGCAAGACAAGCTTGATGGTTCTTCTACTTGCAAGCCCCTCATGGAAACTGCAAATTCCATTCCAATTGGCTTGCACATCTTAAATTGCAGCGCTTTAAGTTTAAGTGGGGCTTCAGTTAAAATGTTAATTTAAATCATTACTACAAGATAGGGTGTTAAGCAGTATGTCCCTTCCAAGTAGGATGTCAATTAGAAGTTAATTGGACATAATGTTCTGTTTTAGATGTTAAACAGAAAGGCCTTTGAATTAGAATCTAATAATAATTGTTATCTTGCATGAATTATTAAAGAAGAAGTCCTTCCATATATAAATAGGATGTCCTTTCCAAGCAGGACTTTAATTAGACCGTAATTAGAACTTACTTAGATTTGAAATATAATTTAACTACACGATGGTGAGGAAAGACACGCTTTGCCTGCCCCTTAAAAGGCAAAAACCTAAAGGACCAAACAACAACTCGAGAACTCAACAATAACAGCTTGAGTAAACAAAGCAAACACAAAAACTCGACAACACACACACACACAAAACAAGAACACCTCGTGAGAACTGAAAAGCAAAACAAACAGACAAACTAACAAGCAATAATGTTTTCAGCACTCTTAAACATGAGCTGTTTTCCAAAGAGTTTTCAAATCATGTATTTGTTTATTTCATCGAGGTTGTGTTGGCTTTCTCTAACCTGTTTTTGTTTTTCTTGGGTCAATATGTTTCCCCTGCATTGGTTGGAGTTTGGGCCTCAAAGTGCAAAAAGCGCACTGCCAGGGTCCCCTGTTCTGTTGTTTTAAGGGTTTTGTTTTGGAATGGCGATCGGGAAACCAACAGGAAGATCAACCTACTTGAGGTTCCCAAATGAAGCCCGAATTTGGAATTGCAGGCCGAGCCCTGCTGGAGATCTATGACGAGGCCGAGTACCTGACCAATTCTCGGTCCGCATGTGGTGTGGGCAGGCATGCGCGGCCACGGGCTTGCCGGCCCAACGTGATGTCAGCATGAGATTCCAACATTTCAGGGATCAGCCACAAAGCCATTCGACTTTGCCAAGCTTCCCTTGCGATACGTTGGCTCGACCTCGTTGGCGTGGCTTTGATCCTTTGGATTCAACTGAGGTGGAGGCGATCGATGGCTCTCTTCGGGTCTGCAACTGTGTCCACGTAGCATTGGACAATCAGGCAGCGGATAGAGCGCGAGGCTGTGCAGCAACTCAGATGAGTCACGACCAGAAAGCTCTTGGGTCCTGCCTGGGTTGAGGTTCATACATCACACACGTGCAAGAGGGGCGGCAGCCAATTCCGAGTCATTGTTATGATGTTGCGCTTTGCATTGAGTTATCGTTGCAAATTGCGTGGAGGTAGCTTGTGGTGCTTTTCGAAGCCAGAGTTCCATTTCCAAGACAGATTTATCCAGCATTCTCACCCCACCAAATGCGTCCATGACGCGCCTGTGCCATCTAGTTCACAGAAATACACTGACTCTGATCCCGCGCAGGTGTTGAGCATCCATTGGGAGAGCTCTCCTGTAAATGACCTGGTGGCAGATTCTGCCCGGGGCTCAGATCGGACTGTTTGAAGAATGCCCCGTGGGAAGTTGCGCTGGGGCAAATGCTGGCTGGTTGAAAGGAGGCAAGGAGCTGGGGGTATCCGAATTTGCCAACCAAGGAGCTAAGGAGCTCCCAGGAGTTTCGTAAGGTCATGGCAGCATGGTGGGGCGTAACATTAAGTTTAGGCTGGCCAGGGAGCCTGGCCAGGCTCTTTGTGCCCAAGAGGAGTTAGGTAGCAGATAGACAACAAGACACATGGATAGAACGATAGCTAGGTATATGAAAGATGGACAGTATATGTCTTTCTGAGAGAAAGGCTAAACTATCTCATCCAAAGATATGTCTTCGGTGAGTTCGCGTTGTGTGTTATATTTTTTGCTCAGGAACAATATAGCGAAACCCAACCTTGCATGGCCATGTCCGAAACATTGGAGAATGATATAGCAAAAACCAAAAAATGATAACTTCCTGCTCGAAATCGCCCAAAGTAGTCGTTTTTTTGCCGCTCGCTCATATGCACAGATACATAGATATGTAGATAGGTTAGATTCGAGATATAGCTAGAAAGAAAGAAGCAAACAAAGAAGAAAGGAAAGACATGCAGACAGATAGAACAACAGCCAGACAGACAGACAGACAGACAGACAGACAGACAGACAGCCAGCCAGCCAGACAGACAGACAGACAGACAGACAGACAGATAGATAGATAGATAGATAGATACGAGAGACAGATAGATAGATAGATAGATAGATCAATAGGTACAGAGATGGTGAGAAAGATAGAACTATCGATAGATAGATAGATGGACAAATATAGATAGACAGACAGACGGAGATAGATAGGAGAGGTAGGTAGACAAGTAGAAGGATAGAACGATAGAGAGACAGAGGGATAGAAAAATTGGGGTAAATTAGATAAGATTAGAACAGTTAGAAAATTGATAGATAGACCAGATCAGATCGGTTTGCTGCTGGAGGGATAGATAGATGGTTAAGTCGAGGTAGGTAGACAGACAAATGGATGGATATTGGATTATAATAAATTAGATTTAGATGAGCAGGCAGGTAGGTAGACAAAGTGACAGATAGGTGGAGGGATGTACAGATGCGTAGATGGACAGAGGGTTTCGACAGATAGATAGGTAGATAACTTGATGCACAAATAGATGCATGAATAAGCAGTCAGATGGATAGATAGACTAACAAAGGTCAACAGGCAGGGAAATAGATTGGCAGAGACACAAACAACTGTAGTTTGTGGCAAATAATCTGCATTCGCCAAATATCAAGGTCTCCTTAACCGCCATCGAGCTGACCCGCAGCCCCTCCATGCTTACAGCCAGAGCCTGAGTTGTGGCCCCTCATCGATTGACCTGAGTGCTCAACGTGATGTCCTCAAATTGCCCTTGGAGAACCCTTCAAAATGTGTTCACTTGCAGGACCCACTCGGTCCAAATGGATGCCACACGGCAGGAGCAGATCTAAAATGCGCCTTTCGATTGGACTCTCCCTTGGATTCTTGCAGCAAGCTTTGAGGCGTTGCGAGGCACGGACACCGGCAAGGAGGAGGAGAGGATCTTCAAGGCCGAAGAACCGCACAATAATGTTTGTAGTCCACTGGGGCCACCTGATTTGCTCATTTCGAGCGTTGGACAAGTCAGATTTGTGGGTGACATGGACCTAGGTGCAGCGCCGTCAAATGTGGGATATTGATGCGCCCAGAGAAGGTTGAGAAGTCAAGGGACAGTTGCAGCATTGCAGCGGGTTCATTGTGTCCATCTCTCGGCCGGGGACCAGCATTCGCTATCAGCACTTTTCACGCAATTGGACGCGCACTGCACTGTGTCAAGCGTTCGGCTTGCCATGGCACGCAGGTTCTTCGCACCTACTTGGAGCAAGAGTTTGGGCGACTGTCCGTGGATGCCGGGCAGTCAGACCATCCAGGGCACCTGAGTCCCCTTCGAGTGTGGCTTCAGTTGGTTCTTTTAAGGCAATTTCGCGGAGCCAATGCGCGGACGAACCAAAGAAAAACAGGCTCAAAACCGTAGCAAAGCTGCCGCTTTTGTTGCATGTTGAGCTCTCTGTGGCACTTTGCAGGGCTTGCCGAGCTGGCATGCACGTGACATCCGGCTTGCATCGACACATCGATCTTTTTGTGGCTGCACTTTGGCCTGGCATGTGTGTGTGTGTGTGTGTGAGCCAGGTGAAGAAAATGGTGCTTTCGTTCGAGGCAGGAGGTCAGATTGTCTAATCTGAACAAATTCAATCTGAAAGTGCGGCAGTAGAAAAGGAAATATTTTTCCCATTGGTTGACTGGAATTTCACATTGGTTGCGAATCTTATTTGAACCACGCGCATCTCCGTACTCAGGTCACACACTGTAGTAATTAGCTGTAGTCACACTCCCACCCTCTTGTACTACAAAAGTTGTTGAAAGTCATACAGAACAAATAGGAGGCAGCCGCGAAATCTGTGGCCAGGTAGATGGGAACACCGTGACCGTTAACTTCCCTTCGCGCTTAGTGGAATGCCAGGAGGAGGCACCTGGCGAAACATCCTGAAAGGCTGCACCACAGGTGAGACGCAGTCAAAACTCGGACAAGTGAAGTTAGCAGAGGACAGTCCCAAACATAAATACTAGCGGGTGTCCGCCCTGTTGATTCTTTACATGGCTGTTTGGGTAGACTCCTTCATGGATATTGTTGCCATCCATATGCGCAGCTTTTCCGGTTTGCCACTCGTCGGCAGGCGCTGTCTCAACGCGTTCGGACGGCTTTGCGACGTTGTGAACGCTCCCTGAGACCGATCCCAGCATTCTAAGGGAAAATGTGACGAAATACAAGATGTGGATCGAACAAGAACATAGCTTCCTAGACTTGGTGTTGCCTGATACGTTCTACTACAGTCATTTATTATATAACAATGGATTATTGTACGATTGTCTTATGTGATTGTTATGCATATTGTAATATTATATTGTTGTGTAATATATTTGGCAACTTGGTCAATTTCAGATTAACATATTATATATATATATATATATATATGTATTGAATGAATTACGTTTATGTTGGCATTATGCTAAAGTGATTATACACTTATGATTAAATTATTAGAATATTTGTGATATATATATATATATTGTAATTAATTTGATAGAATAATATTTGTTTGGAATTGAATGCTTTGGACTATCAAGTTGATATTTTGCAAGTTTTAAGAAAATTGTTTTAATTTATGTAGTATATCGAATCCGCAAGAGGTTGGTGGTTGTGGCGTTTGTATTTACTTTATAGAAAAGGTTGTTTGTTTTTTGATGTTTGTTTGGTTTATTTCCCCACAGCTGAAAGCTTTGGGGTCGCAGCGCAGATAGGCTCCCGGGTGGTCCTCGGAGGCCCTGAGGCAAGGTTCCACAAGGGTTCCGCAAGGGTTTCACAATCTGTTCCACAAGGGCCATGGGTAAGGTTCCACACCGTAACAGCTGAAGATTGCATCGTCGGGCCCCGGTCAGGCACCATCGGCTGTACCTTTGCGCAGGTAAAGCAGCATGCTAAGCAAAACCGGCGGCGTGCTATGATTGGTGGCTTGGATCGGTGGTTTGCTTCCCGCGCTGCGGTAGGGCCTGAGCACAAAAAGAGCACTGCGTGCGTTGGGGATATCACCTGATTTTATTGTTGTATGATTTGGTAATACATACATAGTTCCGCATATACGTACATAATCAAGATAATTGAGATTTATTTGGTTTGTATAGACGGATATGAAGCTAGTTTTGTTTGCTTTCCCTAAATAGCGAAGCCGGCGGGTTATGGGTAAGTGTGATGTTGGCTTAGGGATCGTGTTTCTGACTGGCCTTCTTGTTTCCAAAGCTTTTCGGTTAAATGAAGGCTGAGATGCCAGATGCTGCGAAGCCGGCTCCCGGGTGTTGCCTTACTTTTGTCCCCCTTTGTGTCCCAGTCTTTGCATGCCAGATTCTGTGATAGTAAAAACGAGCTCACCATGACCGCGCACGGAACTCACCGATTGGACCGAACTAAATATTGTTGCTTGCCTTTTTGATGGGCATGTAGCTTTCAAAAGCCATCTTCGTATCGGGAGGATTTGAGAACACTTCCTTTTGCTTTATAGTTGAAGATGGATCAACAGTTCTTGTCACGGGTTCCACTTGGTGGATTGGACGTCAATCTTGGCATGGGTACGACGTGCAAATTGTCCTTTCCAGATGCCTCCTAGAGGGCACTGGGGCAAACAGGCGGGGTTTCGGATCTGCTCACAGACGTCAACACAGAGAGGTGGCCAAGAGGGCAGAGCCACGATCCGAGAGTCCGACAAACCCACCTTTGCGGGAAGCCCCAATCATTGGTGTGGCCATTCAGGCAGTGATGGGGAATTTTTTCTGGGTATGTCAAAATATGGGGAGCCCCAAACACGTGTGTTTTCCCCTTTCCTTCAACATCCACCAAAAGGGAGGCCTGAAAAAAGGAGACACCTACATGATTGCCTTTGCATTCCGCAGATGCGCCGGCTCAGCCAGTGGACGCATTTCCTTTGTTTCGATGGCGCCAGCTCGAAAAGGTAAGAACGAGCTGTTCTTCACCATTCGAGCCCCTTGGCTCCATTTCTGCCGGGCGTTTGAAGGGCTTTCGGGTAAATGAGGGGCGTTCTTGGTGCCTTCGTTCAGGTGAAATATGATAGCCACATGTGTTCACCGTGGCTCACGAAACCCTCCTTCTCAAACAGTTGGGATTGTTGCCCAGAGGCTCCGAAGTGGTGTAGCGCGGAGCTATGGCCTGGGGTTCTGGAAGGGTTTTGAGCCTAGAAAACTGCATGGTTTCCTTTTGGCTTTCCTTTACAGCAACTTTCAAAAAATGAACCCTTCAGGAACAAAAGCACCCAATTTCGCCCAAGCCTCGCTTGTTTGCTCGCTTTCTTAGGACAAGCCGTTGCCAACTGCAACGAAGGCCGTCAAGAAGGCTACCCTCGTGAGCCTGAACTCGCGTGCCTCTGACCGCTTTCCGAGGGGCAAGGGAGGCCTTGCCGTTGATCATTTTTGGGTACGAATCCCAGCAATCAGAAGGAGAACAAGGGTCCAGTTTTGACTGTTCCCAAAGACCTCAAATTGGCTCATGCAGTCTAGCAAAGAACCCTTGGCTTCTTGCGTCCTTTCCCCCACATGAAGCCCTAATCGGCTAACTGGGCCTGAGTCATACAGGTGGCCCCAGGCTGCAACATGACCAGATTCATGAAGTGATCGCACTTTGCCAAAGCCAAAAACATCAGCAAGAAGGGCGCTTTACGTAAGAGGTCGCTTCCCCCCAGTTGCCAGGGATTAATTCCGTTCGAACACTTGCGCTTTCTCCGAGGTCCTTGGACAGAAGGGGCCCAGAAATAGAGTAAGCTCCAATAGCACTGGAAAAAAATGCTGACTGGTGCAGTTTTTGGGGAATCAGGATGAGGTTGACGGCAGCGGCCAAGTAAAACGGCCTCCCTTGGGTTTAGGTGATGGTCGGGAGCCTGTGGGTGTTGCACAAAAACTTGGCACTTGGGGTGACTTCGGAATCGGTGATCCAATGCACCAGTCTGGGTGTCGATGCAAAAAGAGTCAAGTGACTTGGATACATGCCCTGTGGCAAATTTGGAAAGCTCCCCCGACATAGTGTTTTTCCTGTCGGCTTCTTCAAGACTCAGGGTGAAAAGAGTATCACTCCAGGATTCGACCGAGCCCACGTCCGAGGATACCGGCCAACGGACCAGACGACCTTGTTCTTCGCAGCCGCGCGCAAGCATGGCCAGGACAACGAGGCAAAGCACGCGCGAGTCGACGTCAAAGATGAAGCCGGTGTGCAGTTCATTGAACAAAACTCCGAATCTGAATATGCCATTTTGGGTTTGGCCAACAATCATGGACTGGAGCGTTTCGGCATACCACTTTGGAGAAGCCCCCTGTCCACTTCTATGTGTGTGTGTGTGTGTGTCAAAATCGGGGGTGGCCCCAAGAAAAGTGGGCTCCCTTCGGTGTCCCTCCAAACAACCCCAAAAAGGGCACCGAGCCAGGCAAAACAGACCCCGTGTTCGAACGAGGGTTCTGACACCTGTTCGCAATTCCGTGGGAGGCCTTAGCGCTGTGCAAGATGCTGCTCGCGGCCGGCGTCCCGTTGGACTTCGTGGACGACGCTTGCGGCAGGTTCAGCTGGTTGACATTGCAATGGCTCTTTGAACGGTCCAAAGGTTTCCAAGTGTGTCGCCAAATCAGTAGGATCTCACCTCTAGCAAAAGCTTTGAAAGGGATTTTGTCGTCTCAGACAGGTTTCATTCAACGAGTTCACACATGCGGCCTTCATCACTCTCACTCCAGCTGCACCCACTGGATGCGTTTGGTTTGCTGCATGTGTCCATGGTTGTGGGCAACGGTCATAGCTTCTTTTTGCGCCCACATGACATACGATTTCCGAATTACGAAGGTTCGATTGAGTCACACATAGTCGTAGTTGTTTGCTGTAATGGATGCAAGTGCAAGAGCGACTGGTACATCTGGAAGTTCAACTAGAATTGAACTCTCTGGAGTTCACTGCACTGCAGCGAACAGCCGTTAGGCGTTGCTCCCATTTTTGGGCCGTCTTCACTGTGGAGCCTGCGCCTTAAGGTCCCAAACACAGCTGCTCGCGGGAAACTCACACGCAACCACGAGAATCCCATGGGAGTAGCACGAGAAGCTACCTTCGGGAGCATGCCGCATCTTGGGGGGAGATCCTTCTCGTGTTGCGGGGTGCTCTACTTCCTGCATGCCCCGTTTCGGAATTCCTTCCGGCATCAATGACATGGAACCTTGATTTTGGACCATGCACCAGCTTTCCAGCCAAGGAGAATGTCCAGACTGCATTGTTCTACGCGGCCCGAGAGGGCCATTGCCGAACCTGCACCTACCTAGTGCAGCAAGGCGCGGCACTCTTGGGGAGAGGAATCGTACAAGCGAAAACAGAGAGCATTGCTTGATGGAGATCCTGACAGCAAAGCTGCAAATGTTTGTGTGGGTGTGCGCGTGTTTGTGATTTGCGTTTGTGTTTCTGTTCGTGCGCGTGGGTTTACGTTTGGGTTTGCTGTTGTGTTGGCGCTGGTTGTGTTTCTGTTGGTGTTGTCTGTGTCTGCTGATGTTGTTTGTATGTATGTTTGTTTGTTTGTCTGCCTTCGTGTCTGACTCTCTGTTGAACTGTCTGACTCTCTGTCTGTTTCTTTGTCCTGCCTGCCTGCCTGCCTGCCTGCCTGCCTGCCTGCCTGCCTGCCTGCCTGCCTGCCTGCCTGCCTGCCTGCCTGCCTGCCTGCCTGCCTGCCTGCCTGCCTGCCTTGTTTTGGGTGACTGTGTCTGTGCGATTCTGTGCGTACGTGTCTGTGTGCCTGTATACCGGTGTGTTTGTGTTTGTTTGTGCGTGTGTGTTTGTGTTTTTGGGTAGCGGTTTATTCGTAGGTCTTTGTTTGTGTGTGTGTGAGTTTGTCTCTTGGTAGGCGTGTGGTGTGCCCGCGTGCACGCACGAACGCGCCAGTTGGAGGCTATTGTTTTCCTAGTCTAACAAATTTGGGTGTGATGCAGACACCAGTGATCAGCATATACATCTACGCACTCATTTAATTATATACCTTGTGAGCAAGTGACAACGCCGCTGCTGTTTGCTTTGTTAGTTTGGGCACGACATGGGGTGTCCACCCGAATTTCTCGCAGAAACCAGGAAGCGTGCCAAGTTTCCCCATATTTTCTTGGGGAAACAAGTTGCCTTGCCCAGGGCTCACATCACGAGGCACATATATGCAGTTGTTCATTGGTTGATTATTCGTGTGTTTGTGTATTGATTGAGTTATGTAGTCATTTATTAGTTGGTGTATTTTAGTTTCTCGTTTACTTGGGTATTCATGGTTGTTATTTTTGTGTAGTTGTGTAGTCGTTGACTTTGGTATTTCTGTGTTTGACTACCTTATCTAGTTGTTTAGCTTGTTTATGTATGTATGTTACTTATTTATCTATCCCTTTGTTTATCTACTGCGTTTCGATGCATGTATTTGTTTAGTTGCGGATTCACATGGATTCACTACTTATTTCATTGGACAGGCTTTGCACTCTGCAAAGTTGAGTGAGTGGCTAGGCGTGGACGTGAACCATGTGGACAAGAACCAGGAGTCGGCGCCGCCCGGCTGAGACGGTGGTCAGTTGCCGGCCTTTCTGGTTTTCAAAATGGATTTCGAACCCTTTTGGTACTTGGGTGTGCGTCTGTGTTTTGAGGTACTTGTTTGGGGTTTTAAAGGGGAGCCAAGAAAACCGCAGCCTCTTTTTCCCCAACAGCTGAAAGCTTTTCCCCAACAGCTGAAAGCTTTGTGGTCTCAGCCCAGATAGGCTCTGGGGTGGTTCGGGGCAGCCCTGAGGTAAGGTTCCACGAGGGTTTCACCAGGGTTCCACCAGGGTTCCACGAGGGTTCCACGAGGTTCTGCGAGGGCTGCGGGGTGGTGCGAGCACTAAAAAGAGCGCCGCATGCTGTTGGGGATATCACCTGAGCTTATTTGTTTTTTGGGAGGGTCCCTAAAAAAAGACATGGCCGTTTAAAGGGAAACCAGAAAGCACACCCCTGTCAATCATGGTCTAGTGATCATTGACCATAGGGCAAATTTGCAAGAGCGCCCTTTTCACTCACGAAATACAACTTGGTGTCGCCCAGATGGCGACACTTTCTGTTTGGCTCTTTTACAAAGCTCATGCATAGGACATTGAGGTGCCACAGTCCCAATATAATCCTGTTAAAGCCAAATTAAGCACCGCTTTTTGATGTTTTTTTGACCCCCAAAACCATACTCAACGGGCACTTGGACCCTTAGGGTCGGTATTTCTTGTGCGCTTCCCTTTCTGGTGTTGCTTAGCGACGTGCACAAAACTAAAGACCTGCGCCTCAGGATCTTTTACGCCGCGAACCGAGCACATTGGGAGACGGTGCGTACGCTCCTGCAGTGCGGGGCCCGCCTGGACGTGTCTCGGCCTATGTGTCAGGCTCAAGCATGGTGGGCAGACACTCGGGTTGAGCCCATGAATCAATATAAATTGGCCGGGCCTTCGAACAGGTTTCTCTCGAACAGGGTGACCCCACAAGTTGTGGTTTCTCCTTGATCTTCTTTAAACCGACTTCAGAAAGGGTACCCTCAACAACAAACACACGCACAGACCACACACACAACACACACCGCAGAACGCTTCGATGCAGGTGATCAACCAGTGGGGCTGCAACATCGTGCAAGTTGCGGCCAAGTCAATTGCGCCAAAGGTGCAAGAGGACTGAATCTGGACCTAAAAATGCTGGAGGTCATTTTACTGCTAACCACCAAGTCTGGACTTGTTCTAAGCAACCCTCTCAGGAAGTGAGACAATTGCAAGGCCTGATTGAGGGAACTGTAAAACGACGGCAGTAGCAGAAAAGAACACTTAGTTGGCCAAACCAATGCGAGCATCCAGCAAACTGGGTGTGTTTCTTAGTGGGTGTCCAGCCCCAGCCGCGTAACCTTTGGTTTGCTAGCACGGGGAGAGGTCAGTGTCTAGTTGCCAGCGGAGTCATCATCGAATCATTCAAGGTTGCTTGTACCCAAGCAATATTGTGCAATCGTTGGGAAAGGGGTTGTGGGAGCTCTTAAGAAACGGGGCATCACCCGGTGAAACCGAGTCATTTGGATTGGTGAGATCGCGCGCTTCGGCAGGAGATCAACGCGCGAAAGCGTAAGACCTCAGAGGAGGCCGGGCCTCGTGACGACTTCGAAACGGACAAGCGCAGTGGGGTTGGTCTCCACAATGTCTTGTGTTGGGGGACCCCGCAAAATCTTAGTTTCCCTTTGTACCCTCAAAATGACGGCTCTTTTGTTCGAGGACCCCATGGTTGGAGTCCCTTGGTCTCATTGCGGGGCTTGCCTATGTCCGTTTGGACCTCAACCTTCTTTTGGGCATTTGGCAGAGGAAAAACCAATTTTGGGCCGCCCTTACAGCCCGTGTTTCCGTTGGTTTTCTTTGCAGCCAACTCACAAGGCACGCCCATAGTGGTCTCCCTTTAAACCAGCCCTTTTGGCTTCCCTTTTGATCTTCATTTTTGGGTTTCTCTATTCGCTGTCTTCCCGAGGTGGAGGTCGAGATCTTGCCGGAGAAGCGCCGGAGAGTGGCCACTCCTCTAGAGGCTTCGGCTTCTTGAGCCGGACCGGGATTGTCTTGTGCATGTTGCTCCTCCCCCTTCTGGTGATCCCTTTTGAGTAGAGATACGTAAGCATCCGCAAAAGGAGGCAAAAGAAAACCAATCCTCGTGTTTCAGAAGCTTCTTGTTGATTTCTTTTTAAACTCCACGAGTTTTAGGTCGGTTGAAGCGAATCTTCGCGCCCCGCGCCTGCGGCTAGGCCTTGCGGGACTGGGCCAACGAGTGGCCCAGCACCGAGGCGGTGCAGGGCCAGCACATCGAAGCCAAGGTGGAGGCGGGACCGCGGGGGCCAGGCCCAGGTGCCCAGGTGCCTTTCCCGAAATCCACTCTGACTTTGGGAACCGGGGTCTCCAGAATTTCAGAGTTTGGGATATAGCCATATGCTTTGCAAGCTGAAGCTGAAAGTCAAATTGTTTTGTTGGCGTGAGGGATGTGTCAAAAGCATGGCCCCTGTTTGGACCCGTTTCGTTGACAAACCCCAGCATGAGGAGTACACACCCCGTTTCACATTTCAGGAGCCCTTTTTCGCAGGACAGAATCCATTTTAGCTCGCTTCTTGTCATGACCCAACGCAGCTTCATGGCTGTCAAAATGGATTTCCCACTGCACTGTGTCCTTTCATTGCCCTCAAAGCAAGACGACAAAGGGTGCCAACTCAAAAGGCACACGCAAGCGTTGCTACTGCCAGTTACTCAGTCGTAGTGTTGTTGTACTCAGTTGTTTTTTTCCGAAACCTACCAATCAAGGGGTGACTTTCAGAGCGGCAAGGTGATGAAGCCAGTTAAACATGTTCAATGTGTTTTCCAACTTGAATGGTGAGAAAAAAACAAGAACACAATGTTCCCTTCTGGAAAGGGCCTGTTTCTTTTTGGCTGCTTGGTTGCAAAAAGAAGGACTGACAGGAGGCATCGTCAAGCATGGTTGTTTCGTCGGAGTTGTCAAACTCAAATAGTGCTTACAATCTTCGGGTAGGGTTCTGGAAGGACTCTTTTCAGAATGACAAAACCTGTTTCATCCACATGAAAGGGGTTACAGGTGTTCTCCTTCTACTCCAGTTGTGGCAACCATTTTTCTTTTTACCCAAAAACTCCTACCCAAAAAGGTACCAATATTTCCCTTTTTGGTGGTTATACACATCATTATTTTGGCCCATAGGTGAGTTCCGTGGTGATGTTTTCAGTTTTTGATTTTTTTTTTACTCCTGGTGGGGTTTCCCTTGAACACCACCCCAAACAAATCGACCACGACTTTGCGAAGAACCCGTGACCCTGTCCCCAGGACTTGGTGAAGCAGGGCGAGGGCTACGCTGTGGTCAGGGCCCCCGTGGTCTCCGCGGCGCGTTTGCGCATCTCGGAGAAGAACTTCGTGGTGGACCATGCTGAGCCGAGCGCTTAGATGTTGAAGATTGGTCCAACAATGATTCCCAATAAACTGGTTCACTAAGTTGGTTCAAGAAGTTGGTTCAACAATTAGGTCCACTTGTTGGTTCGACATGCGCTTAGAGTGGAACCAGATTCGAGTCAACATGTGAGGTTTGATCTCAAAGCTTCTTGATTTGTCTATGAGGGGGACGAGCCCTAAATTTCGGCAGGGTGAAGCCCTCAAACAACCATGGTCCTTTTGGGGAACATAGATAGTTTTTGACCGTGGCTCATTTGAGGAATTGGCCCCCTGTGAATTAGCGGCTCAACCGACTCAGCTGTGTCTCGCCTGACAGGTTCTCGTAAAGCTGCTCCTGCCACCCCCCCAAACCACCCTTGAACTAGCACGACACCCAAGAAGGAAAGGAGATCCTCTTGACAAGATGGTTGACTTACTTGCTCAAAGTCGACCTGTTTATCTTTTGGCTTTTCTGATTTGGTCCATTCACATGCTTTTACCTTGTTGGGGTGGGAATAGTTGAGTGGTTCTTCAAATCAGGCGACCTTTAAAGTTGGGTATTTTTGCCTTTTGGAATGTGTTGCTTTCGCTTTGAACGCAGACTAAAGGACTGCCTCTCGCCTTAGGAACACCCTCCCCAGCACTGTAGTTTTGGAATGATTGATCTACTCATTCAACCTGCCAATAGCCAGCAAGGGAACAACCAGCAAGGTGTGGTTTAGTCTGATGTTGTTTGCTGTGGTTTGGGCTGGCGTGGCGTGCCGCAGTATTGTATGTTGTGTTGTGTTGTGTTGTTGCCTGTGTGGTGCTTTGTGTGTGTGTGTGTGGGTGTGCGTGCGACGTGTGCTTGATGGTGTTGCGCCGTGCTTTGCGTGTTGTGTGCATGTTGGGTAGTGTTGATGGTTTGCTTTGTGTTGTGCGCGTGTGATTGATCATGGTTGTCAGTGTTATTGATGTTGTTGGGACTTGTTTCTTGTTCTTGTTCTTGTTCATGGTCTTCATGCTCGTCATGCTCCTCGTGTTCTTCTGGTTTTGTTGGCTTGTGGAATGTGTATCACTGCAGCTTATAGAACTTGCTTCGCTGAATTTGTTGTTGGGTGCGCGTTCGCGCGTTTGCGCCTGCCTGCTTGAACGGAATTTTCTTTGGAGGCTGTGGCATTTTCAATTTTGTCAAAGGAGGCTGGAGTCATTTGGAGTCCGTTTGAATGTTGGCTCAGGATAAATCAACCCGAAGGATTCGGGAGGGTTCCCACAATTTGTGCGATCCGTACGCTGGAACAGGGGTTGATGGATCCTGGGATCCCATTAGTGACAATGTATTGTCGAAGTCTTGCGGTGATTTGTCCAAGCAATGTTTGCTTTAGTGGTGGACCACGAGCCGTGCTTCAAGAACGATGGATTTGGAGGCAAAGCTGGATTTTTTGCGCTTCATTGCCAACGAAACACACTACTAGCCCACGAGGTGTTGCCGACAGAGCATCACACATCGTGTGCCAGCTGGCATAATGGCACCCCAAATCATGCGCAACAAAAAGGCTCGTTCGCCGCGCTCAGGTTGATGGCAAAGCACGCCTGGTTTGCCAACATTCCCCCAGACAGCTGGTGCAGGCGAGAGCGGTCAACGTGGGTATAATAAAAACTGTTGGTGTGGTTTAGAGTCAATGTGAGCAACCTTTGACATTGGACTTTTAGCTGACGTACGAATGCTAATTGAGACAACCATGGAAGCTGTTTCCCCCATAGTAGGCGCCAGCAAGAGCCGACAGTCTGCGACTGTTTTGTTTGCATCTACGGGAGTCCCGCAGCGATCTTCCACTGCCTACATCTGGGGTTCTCATGTTTTCCTTTGATAGAAGGAGCAAACATTGCAGTGACTCATGGTTCGATGGCTATTGACATATAATTTGAGTTATAGGGAATCCTGTGCATCACCCGATTCCTTATTCTTCCCACGAAGGCATGGCTGGACAAACGTTGGACCAATAGTGCGGTCAGCCTGGCACTTGACAGCGCATGAAATGGATGGGTTGGACGTTGAGTGTGTGGAGTCCGATCCGAGGGTTTCAAGTTGATTGAGTCGTCTCACAGAAGTTTTCTGATTATTTTTCAATGCGGAGCTTCTTCTAAGACCTACAAATCGCGAAGCCACCTTGTCCTTCAGGGGCTAAGTAATCTTTCCGTACAACGTAAAGCCTGGCATATGCTTTTCCCAGCATCCAAGCCTACAATGTGCAGCGTTGATTCCTATTAGACGCTTTCCATGTTTGCGTGACAGTAAGTTTAAGACACTTTGGCTGAAGGATTTCATGTGAAGAGCAATGCTGGCATAGCCGCAAATTGCTTCTATTTGATGAAGACATCACTTTGCATTGAAGACTTGCTCATGTGGCCAATCGAATAGGTTTCCACGGCCGCTATCAGCCTAGTCGAATGGTTCACCTGTCTTAGGGCAAGCAAAGGCCTAAATAGACCCGCATTGGGTAAGCATTTGCGGGTTGGACTCGCCAGACATTTGTCCGAAGCTGATTCTGTTGACATTTGAGGTGTCTTGGAAGCCTCCTAGTACAGGTTTATTGGAAGTCCAAACCCAAAGCTGTAGCATCGGGATATCTTCTTCCGCTCCCGCCTCTTCTTTGACATCAACAGCGGGGAAAGATGTTGTTCAACAACCAGACACAACTCAACGGCGTTGGCCTGTTTAGCTGAATCAAAGATACTTGCTTAGTTCTTGATAATGGATTTGACAACAACAAATCCTTGGGTTGCGTTCCATGTCTTTACCACAGCGGTTGCTACCAAGCGGAAGGCAGTTGTTAAATGCCCATTAACGAGCAATCACTGGTTGCAAACGAGCTCGCAGGAGTTGTGGCGTGATCGAGGACGGCTTTCAGCCTCCCGACGGGCCCATTTCGGCCATCAAGGCGCCTTTCGCGCGCACAGCAACTCTTGGTATCCCAAAAAGATGTCCCATGCGTACATATATGAGTTCCTTAAAGTGACATCAGCAGGAAACCACCCGTAGTGGATCATTTTTCGGAACTTAGAGATGAATTGAGCATTGGATGGAAATGCCTTTCATGTTGTATGAGTTTGGAAAGCCAAGCATGACACACACACACACACAGAGAGCCGGTTCCCCAAGAGAGGTAGTTCCAAGAGGGTGGGCAGAAGGCAATTCTAGGGAAAGTTAGGGTTGCTCAAGGTTGAAAGGCTTGGGGAAGCCTTGCTTTCCCCTGCCTCCCTCCATCAGTTGCAGTTGGAAAGGGTGGGATGAACCTCAGGCCCATGGCGGTCCTTGCAGAAAGTTCCAAATGGAGCCTTGGTAAAAGTGTTGTGTAGTGGTGCGCTACTGGTTTCCTAATGGGTATGTTCCGCGAACTCTCCAACTGGAATTGGGCAAGGTTTTTGTAGCCCCCCCTCAAATGGTGCTTGTGTCTCCTCGTGGTTTCCCTTTAAACCACACCCAAAAAGCGTACCCTTTCAATTCCACACCTGAGAGCAGGGGGGATGAGAGGACGACTTGAGGCTCCAAGTTGAGGTGTGTTTTTTTAGCAGACTTGGGAATGAAACTTGAGGGGTCTAATCCTAACAGGCGACTGGTATGGAACCGGTGTTTGGTTTGGGTTCGGCTTGGTTTGTTTGGTTGGTTGTTTGGTTGGTTGTCTCTTTTTCTGTGTTTGTTCCCACCCGACAGGAAGGGGTTGTTAGATTTTATGTTGGAATCCGCGTTTGCGATGCTTCTATACCACGCCCCCACCCAGTATCCCGCCAGAGCAGCTCGCCAGTGGATCCCGCCGAGTATCCCGCCAGAGCAGCTCGCAGTGGATCCCGCCAAGTACCCGCCAAGTATCCCGCCAGAGCTGCTCGCCAGTGGATCCTGCCCAGTATACCGCCAGAGCTGCTCGCCCCCGCCAGAGCGGCTCGCCAGCCCGCCAGAGCATCCCGCTGAGTATCCCAGAGTAGCTTGCCAGTGGATCCCGCCAAGCATCCTGCCAGCCAGTGGATCCCGCCGAGTAACCCACCACCAGAGCAGCCCGCCAGTGGATCCCGCCAAGTACCCCGCTGAGTATCCCAGAGTAGCTCGCCAGTGGATCCCGCCGAGCATCCCGCTGAGTACCCCTTGCCGGCGGATCTTGCCGATCATCCGGCCAGTATCGAGCCGGAGCGGCTCGCCAGCATTCGCCAGTGGATCCCGCCAGTACCCCGCCAGAGTTTTGCTTAATGTCCAAAAGGGCCGATGGGAATTTGGAGTCGAAGTCTCTCGGATGCGGAGGAATTTGTTGTAGCGGCCGTAAGCTCGTGAGTGTGGAGGGTGGGGATTGCTCGAAGCCAAGTAATGTGTTTGTTTTTTGTTTGTTTGTTTGTTTGGTGTGATTGTTTGCTTGTTTGTCTGCCTTTTGTCTGTCTGTTTGTTTGTCTTGTGTTGTTTTGTTTTGTTTCGTTTGTTCGTCTAATTTGGGTTTGTTTGGTTTTCTGTTTGTTTGCTTGCTTGTTTGTTTGCTTGCTTGCTTGCTTGCTTGTTTGTTTGTTTGTTTGTTTGGTTGGTTGGTTGGTTGGTTGGTTGGTTGTTCGGTTGGTTGGTTTGTTGGTTGTTTGTTGGTTTGTTTGTGTGTTAAAATCAAACAGCTGTTCAAATTTTCGATTTTCATATCAACCCTTCACCAAGCAGGCGAGTGATTTCAAAAATAGGTCCATCCGTGTTTCCTTTTAGCTTATTGCCTTTGAATTCACATCCTGGAGCGCCAAGTGCTCGGTTTGGAGTTCACGCCCTGGTGGGAAACAAGCCTTGCTCCAGCCTGGTGTCTTTTTGAGGATTTTTGCCAGTCGAAACAACCTGGCTTGATCGAGGGCCAAGTTGATTGGTTTTGTGGATTCAACAAACAACTCGAGGAAGCCTTGTTTCCCGCCGGGCCCCAGGCAGGAGTCAAAAAGTCACAAGGCCCCGAGAATTTGATTTCGAAATAATATGGGAATGTTTAAAAATATTGCTGGAGCTGATAATTATTAAAATGGCACAGTCACTTGTTTGTTATGTTATGTTTTGTTTTTGGTGGGGGCGGAAGGGGAGGGGGAGAATTCTGTGTTGATTTTCAGGAAAAGGGATTGATGGAGCATGCCTTTTGTAATTGTGTCCAGGAAACTCAGCCTGTTTGGGGGCAAGCCCTAAATTTCACCAGAAAAATCCTGGGGTGCCTTCATGTCCAACAGTTTCTCACGGACTCAAGGTTGACAGCCAAGATGTTGCTTGTAGGAACCAAGGGAAGCCCTGCAATGTTCCTTGGTGCGCCTTTGGCTTGTCAATTTTTGGGCGGCAGCGATCGCGAATGCCTTTCCAGGGAGTGCTGTCCAACGCCAACCCGAATCACTTTACACTGGCTCTGATCGAGACGGAGTCGAAGGAGATCGCGGGCTACGTCCACTGCCAGCGGCAGAAGGAGCAGAACAACCTGCTCATCTCGCACGTCAAGGTGCAGCTCAAGCCATTGCCAGACCAAAGGCTTGCGTTTTTAGCTTTGACCCGTTTTGTTTTTCTTCGTTGTCCCTTTCAACCAGCAACTTAATTAGCCTGCTTGCAGGCGGCCAAGAATTTGACCCTGTGGCTCTGTGCAGCCCCAAAGGACTCACTGGAACCTTGGCGGATGGTCAAAGCCGGTGGGGTATCCACTGGGCCTTGCAAAGTTGACAGTTTGTTGGTTTAAACGTATCGTATCTGTACCTGGGCTGACTTCTTGCAGGGGTCAAAGAGCTGCTTTGAAACAGCTCCGACATGTATGGTTCACGTGGTTAGCAACAGTGAAAAAAGGGGCCTTCAGGTAGAGCCCCACCCTCGACGAGGGTTCCTCTCGCACAAAAAAAAGGTAAGAATAGTTTGAGTTTTCTCAACATGGGATGCCCGCAGATTTCCACTCAAACAATGGTACACAACTTGAGCTCCACCCAAACACGGATAAGCCTCGCAGAAGGAAAAACCAATCATTGTCCAAAAAGGGTAACCAGCTGCCCACCCACAAATGGGCCAACCCTTGATTGTCCCAAGAGAGGTCCTACAAAAACGGATGCACACAAACAAGTGAGCCATCACAAACCCCTTTCATTCGCCCAACAAAACGGGTACATCACTTTGAGTACCAGCCACAAACCCCTTTGTTAGTTCTCGAAAAGCGGTGCAATCCTTTCACTCTCACCAAGAAGTACAATGGATTTCCAAACCAAAGTGGGCCAAAGGGTCTCTCGGAGGTGGACGAATTGCACAAGGGCAAGGGCCTGGGGGGTTTGCTGATCAAAGCGGCGGAGGAGCACAGTCACAGCCGGAGCCCCAGAGTCCTCACCTCTCATGTGTGGCATGTGTTCTTTTTGGCGCCGCGGGTTGGTTTTTGTTTTCGGCGACGGTTGCGCCAACCCTACACTTGCTCCAAACCCATTCTAAACTTACCCCAAAGCAACCCCAACCCCGCTCTCTAAGCTGAACCCACCCGACGCCAACCCTAAACCCACCTAAACCCACCCTCAACCCTTTGCGGACTCTGTTGCGGTTTGGACATAAACCTCTTCAAGGAGTGAGCTTCCCTGTCCCTGCCGAACCTAGCAAACAGTATTCCTGCCAAACCTAGGCCAGCAGATCAACGCTTCAAATAAGGCTCTAATGTTCAAGCTTGAATTATCAATTGGTTTGTATGGTAAACAAACAAAATGTTTGTACAGGTTCCTTGGTTCATTGGAGCCTGGTGGCCTGTTAGCATTGCCACAGGACAGGTAGACGATGATGAGTACAATGTGGAGATGCGAGTAGATGTAGTTGTGTCTAGTGTTTCTCAGTTCGCAAGATAATGGAAGTTTCGCACCCACTAGAAAGATTGTGAACAAGACTCGTTTGTTTTGTCCAACATCCAACCGTTGTGGAGAAGCTCTGGAAAGACTGCTTGGAATGCGCGCGAAACCACTGAGTCAGTTTTTTTGGGCGGGGGATACCCCTTTTGTTGTTTTGCAAGGACAACCACGGGAAAACCACCATTTTGGGGGTCTAACCAAAAAAGAATACCCCAATTGCTATAAACTTTAGATGGCCACAATTGCGCTGGGACCCATTGTCAAGGCGATCTGCTGTGCTGTTTTGTAGTGTCTTCAAGACACGCATCGTGTTGATAAAGGTTTCCACGATTTCACTTTTCCGCTAAGAATTTAGAAGCTTCCTTTTGAATGCTTGATGGGAAACCAACGGCACACAAGATCCAGTTTTGGAAATGAATCCCTATTTTAAGAAGCAGGAATCCAAAGTCGATAGATCACGTTGCAGTTTGTTTTTCTCGGGAAGGCCAACGTGCAA